CTCCTCTCCCCCCAATGCTCCAGCCTCCCTCCACTGTCCATGGTCAACCATGTTGAGATTGAACAAGAACCGTGCACGATGAAGCAGACTCGCAATCACTCCCATTGTCCCCTCTAACCGCATAGTAACCTGCATTCACACTCACAAGAACCCATCATCTTCTCTTATCAGAAGTGAAGCATGCCCCAAGCTTTGTTCAAGGACTCTGAAAGTCTTTCTTCAAGTCGAGAATGGTACCTTCACAGAATTCACGCCAGTCTCGGCTTGTATTGCTTGTGTCATTTTGCCGTTCGGTACGGTTTGTTCTTTGGATCTTTCAACACAAGAGCAGATATGGGCTTTGAATCCTTGACAGGACTTCAATGGCTGGCTCTCTTTACTCCTCACTTTATTCTCCAGCTGAGTGGTTTGGTGTTTGGCATTCCTCGGAAACGCCACCCCGATGGAAACAGAATCTGGCCACAGTATCGATACGAAGCTCTAGTTTTCTGCTGTCGCTGCCTCGCTCTCATGGCCATTGCATGGTATCGAAAGAACCTTAACAACAAAAGAAAAATGAGTTTTCAGTCATTCCTTCTGCTCTGATACTATACGCCACTATGATATCTGCAGATACCGTGGCCAACTGGTACAGCACGAAAGGCGAGAACAGTAGAACGATTCGAGATTTGAAGGGACCACCAGGGGCGCTGTACTTGATGTCGAGTGCTCAATTCCATGCCAATGTGCACTGTCTCTTCACGGCAGACAGGCTCTGCGTACAGCTCGCTGCATTGACAGTTGTCCAAACGACGGCCTTTAGCTCGACTTTACGTCGCCAGGCAATCATCAGCCAACCGTTTGGATTGGTGTTGTATGGTATGGTTCTGATTATGGGCATGGCTGTGATCCTGACGGACCTCCTGGATCGACAAATCTTTGGTACGGCAGTCACAGTGGCAAACTTGGCGGCTCTGGTGCGGTTCGAATGTCGTCTCAACAAGTATGTGTTGTGGGGCATCATTGCGCTCGTATTGGGCACAGATGAATCTACAAGGATTATGGAAGGCAACCCAGTGCTGCCCTTTGGAAGCAGTCTATTACTTGTCGGTTGAGCTTTAAAGCGTCAGAAGGAGCACACTTCCATAAAGGAAGGTAAAAGACTAGTGTGATCATCTCGTCACGGTGGAGCAACTACTCCTGCAAGGTGCATTTGAAATACATACTGGGTGCCTGTTCCTGCATCCAACCTCCAGGCTCCTCGTGTGCTTTGCAAAGATATTGGATGGTCATACAGAAGTGTTGCACACGAGATGCGACCACAAACTCCAAGTGCTATCGGTACGAATATCAGAGACATGCCTGATGCGCCTTTCCGCTGCTACCACTCGTACCGGTACGGTATCGGGTACACCGTGATCAGGCTACATATCTACTGTGCTGTGTGAACACTAAGCATTTGAACGCGCCCTTAGCTTCATACCTCATGGGAAATAGCAATAGATCTGGAGTTATCAGTCCATTGCAAAGCTGAACAGCGCTTGCTGACGGCCTTAATGCATGACCGGAAGATGTATAGTTTATTGTTTTACTTTGGAATTGCAAAATAGCTATGTTTTGCCTGCACAAAATAGATAATACGACGCATCCAGCCAGTCCCTTACGATGTGTGCTTGGTAATGGTTGATTCAATTGCTTCAGCATTGGCACCATTGACAACATCTACTTTTTCACCACCAACAAAGTAGTGGAAGGAGGGCACAGATCGAACACCTTCTCGTTTCATCAATTTCGAAGCTTCTGGAGTGGCATCGCCAATAACCTAAACATCCACAAAGAAAGAAAGAAAGGAAGAAGGCAAAATCAATGAGTCGATGAGTCCAAAAAGGGGCAGGCAGAATCATTCCACGTAATGCAGGAGCAGGTGCTCAGGCATCACTCGGGAACGATACCACATCTCCCAAGTGCTGTACACCACCAACTTTGTCTTCACAAGTCTGTCTTGTCATCGTCGTACCTTCAGGAATACTGCATCAGGGTACTTCTCGCTCAGTTCATCAAATTTTGGGGCAATGACCTTGCATGGTCCACACCAAGTTGTGGAGTAGTCGACAATAACCAAAGAATCACCTGCACTCTTGATGGTCTTATCAAAGGCGGCCTCACTGTCAACATCGACCACTGCCTTCAGAGGTGCGGGTCTGGACAAGATGCCTCTGCTGATGCTTGACACTGGCGAGAAAGCTTGTGTGTAGGCAACGGCCACTACGAGAAGGAAAGTCTTGGTCCACATGGTTGGCTTCGTTGTGAAATTTATTGCTGTAGAGGGTATCTTTGGTCAGCGCCTTGGTTGATTGCCAGTACGAACGAAAGAGAGGAAAGACTTCGAGATGGCAACAAGAGAAGGCTATTCCGTCAACGCTACCTGTCGATCCTTGATGCCATGCTAACCATGGCCTCATTCGCTGGCGGATGCATGCCGATCGAGTGCCAAAGGCGTACGAAGGAGGCTGTGACGTTTGTCAATTTGCTCCGCAATCTTTCTCTCAACTTCAAGCATGCGGAAGAAGGACGTACAAGTCCTAGCTAGGCCAGCAAAGCCGTTAGAAGAACAGTCCGGCCCCCTCTGCTTAGTGCCAACGGTACTAGCTCTACATGTACTAGCTAGAGCTAGCTAGCGGTACATCGTACCTGGCGTACTTCAGCTAGGTATCATCTATTCTTGGTGATCCAGCTGTGATTGTCTCCCAAGGAGTGGAACTGGCCGATAGAAAGAGATGTACATTGGTAGACAAGACACAATAGATTATCTTGGAACTAGCTAGAAAGCTTGACCAAACAATGCACCTCCGTTTCATATTGATCTATCTGAGGTCCTTTAGAAGAATAGCTTCAAAATTATTGCATCATGCCCTTCATGTACGACAACGCTCACATGGTTATTTATTTACATGTACAACTATCCCTAGCAACCCCCCCCAACGAGCCCTGCACAAGGCAAGGCAGCACGATCGCACGCAACATGAACGATTTCACTCTCGTGCGCTTACTTCAGAATCCCAATACCACCGTAAACAGCTCTCACAATTGAACTATGCATAGTCTATCTGCTGGTAGCAAAATAGAGAGCCATTCCCTCTGATGGATTCATTCGATTCGATTCAGTTCACCACAATTTTCAAACCATTTTCCGTTTCACAAAGCAAGTTCCCCAGCAGTCGTCAGCCAGCAGCGCTGTCAGCTACCCTGTGCGGGTCTCAAAAGCCCAGGTTTGGGTTCCTGAAAACACGCCTTCACACAACACGCCATCAAAAGGATCGGAAGCAGCTGCAGCTGCATCAAGCAAGGATCTTTCGGTTGTATTCTCGCATCGGAGTCGATGCTTTCACGGAACCCGTTAGATTTTTTGCACTTTCCCACTCTTTTCGTCGTTGCCTCAACATTGTGTTGTCACTACAAAACAGTCCCTACTGGAAAATAAAAGCAGTCTTAGCATTCTCACAATAACTTTTTTGAGCAACGATGATGTCTAAAATCCTACTTTTTTCTGCCCTGTTGGCATCCCAAACAAATGCTTTTGTTGTGGCTCCACAGCACTCGAGCCGACCTTTATTGATTCGAGGAGAAACCCGCCAAAATGCTGCCACAGAAGTGTCCCAAGATACCCCAGCTACTTTGCCAGCGTTTGAAAACAAGGAGGCCTATATGGAGTACATGGAGGGTGTGTCTGCACTTCCCAAGGGCTTTGCAACAGGCACTGCCAAGGGTACTTTTATCTCTGTGGAAGCTCCCGCAATGGGTGCCCTGCCCATTAAGGGAACCGTTATTCACCTGACAGAAGAAGCAACAGAGAATTGGGCTGCTGTTTTTACCAGCAATAAATTTCCTGGAGCACCTGTGATTGTTGGTCGCCAACGTCTGGCAGATGGTGGTCCCCTTCACGCGTTGGTCATTAATAACAAGGTGTCAAATGTTTGCTCGGGTGGCGATGGTGTTGGGGATTCTGAAATGGTTTGTAAAGCTGTGGCAGATGCCCTTCAATTGGAGGGTGGTGCCAAGACTGTGTTACCATCAAGCACTGGAGTCATTGGTTGGAGATTGCCTGCTGAAGCCTTGTCCAATGAAGTCGTTCCAGCTGCCGTTAAAAATATGGATTCTGTGTCTGGATTGGATGCTGCTGCAGCCATTATGACCACAGACCGATGGCCCAAGTTGCGCAGTAAAACTTTGTCCAATGGCGCCCGCCTTGTTGGAATTGCCAAGGGCGCTGGAATGATTGAACCCAACATGGCCACTATGCTGTCCTATCTCATGACAGATGCCACCATTCCGAAGGCAAAAATGCAGGCCATGTTGAGCAAAGTCACCAACCAGTCCTACAATTCCATTAGCGTTGACGGTGATGAATCTACCAGTGATACTGTTGTCATGGTTGGATCAAACCAGGTGGACAACACAGATGAAGCAGAATTTGAAGCAGCATTGTTGGAAATCTGTCAAGGACTGGCAGCTGACATTGTGCGCAATGGAGAAGGAACAGGACATGTCATGCGCGTTGAGATTTCCAACTTTCCAGGATCTGAATTGGAAGCCCGTCGCCTGGGCAGACACATTGTCAATTCCCCCCTCTTTAAATGTGCCGTGTCAGGCAATGACCCCAACACTGGCCGTTTGGCTGGTGCTATTGGATCCTTCATGGGCAAGTACAAGACAGATGGTGCTGTGGACAAGATGACTCTGACATTGGGTGGTCGTGTCATCTTTGACAATGGAAAGTTTGTGCTGGAAGGAGATTCAGTTGAGAAGGAATTGAGCGACCACATGGCTGATGCCCAGTACAATGAACATTCTGATTACCCTCCACACCAAAAGTGTGTCGAAATTGGGGTCGATTTTGGAGCTGGAACTGGTGATGCCTCTGCCACAGTCTTGGGCAGCGACTTGACTGGTGAGTATGTGGTTGTCAATGCAGACTACAGGAGTTAGAAAAAAAGTAAGCGTAACGTCTAGCTAGCTCGATGTTTTAGAGATCAGACCTCCACTGCATGATGCGTACTAGTATCGAATATGACCAGAATCGACAGCAGTCCTCCTGTTGGGTAGGCGGAGGCGGGTACGGAAGTAAAGAGGCGATTGGGCTACGTATTGTACCTTCAGATTTGATTTGTATGGCACAATCCTCCGGCACTCTACAACTGCGCTACTAGCTACTGAGTAGGGGTAGCTGATCCATAAGACCGCTTATTAGGCGTTAGCTCTTTCGCTTGTGCTCCAAAGCACTACATGTATCCGAGCGAGCTATCGGTAGCTAACCATATTGTACATCATCTAAGCAGCCAGTCTCCATTGGCATGTACGTCTTCACAAATTGCACCGCAGATTGTCAATTGCGCTACTGTCCTCACTGATTTGTAGCCAAATTTTCCAACACTCTGAAGCAATCAAATCATGCACTGGTTGCTTGCCCATGCTTGTTGTTGCTTTCCTCTAAAAATAATCCCACCCAATTCGATTGAGCAAACTCTTCATCCTCCTCCCTTCGTTCTTTTCCTGTATCACTTTCTCATTTGAATTAATTAGAATGGATATTGTTTGGCTGCTGGCATTCTTGTCAACGTCAATCCACTGTTGGTCTTTTGTTCGGCGTACATCCATTCGTCCTTTTCGAGTTCCTTGGTGAGCTGTCGTAGATTTTCCAACTTTTCCGCTAGCAGCGCCCGTTGATTTCCTTCGGAACACCGACGATGATCGGCATCGTCAAAGATTTGTCCCATGCGCGCTTCCAATTGATTCATCAGGGTGGTGCTACTGTTTCCACTGTCTCGCATCACGGCCATCATGACGCTGTTCGAGACGGCTGTCTGAGAGGCCCTCGTTGGAGGTGTCGCGTACTGGTTGTTGTTATTACCATTATTGTTACTACTAATATCGTGGCTGGCCATGGTGGTTATTTGGGAGTACTAGTAGCGGTAGAAGAGAGCAGGAGATAGTGATGGTGATTGGTGGTGCATGGTGATGATGGAGACGAGAGACAATGACAGCGACACAGCGACCCATCTTCAGCGAAGTGTGTTGGGGCCCATGAACGTGACATCACTTACGTGACTCATAATCACGGACAATTCTGTCAGAAACAATGACGGAACGTTGTTTTTGGCAGCCCCACACTTGCAGGTGTTCCATGGCCGGTACCACCACCTCAACAGCAAAATGGCGAAGGTAGGGATCCCAGTAGATCAATCAGTCCAGCCACTGCACCAACAAGCGCACTCTTCGGTGGCTGCTGATCGCTTTTATCATTCCATTAGTTAGGAGACGATGAGCTCTTTGTTGTCGCAAGACAAGGTGTTGGCTGTTGCCGCCGCCTCGGTGGTGGCGGGTGTGTGCTTTTACTGGTACGAAAAGAAGGCCCAACAAACCAAAGACACTGTTGTGAGAGATCCTCCACATGTTTGGTCTTGGATACCCCACGTGGGGTCGGCATTGGCCATGGGCAGCGACATTACAGAGTTCATCCGATCCAATGGTGAGAAATTGCTGGCACCCGTATTTACCGCCACAATCATGGGAGATAAGTGTGTCTTTGTGGCCGACCCACAATACCTCGTCACATTGGCCTTTCGATCCAACAAGTACTTGGATTCGCTCTCGCTTCAAAAGCAATTCGCCAAGGATGTTTTGGCATGCAATGAACTGGAAGTAAAGGTACGTACCGTACGAGTAGCTACCGCCAGCTACCGGTAGCAAGTAGAAGAAATGAAGGGTATAGAATTGGACACTCTTACAAGTAAATCTATGTTCCTACCTTTCTGTTCCTATTCGCTCTCTTAGGAAAACTTTGGTCGCGAGATCGACAAGATTCAGGGACAGCAATACCATCATTACTTGTTCAAAGGAGCTGAATTGGAAAACTCTCTGAAACAAGCGCAAGAACTGTTTCAAGCGATGGTGCCCAAGCTGAGCAGTGGTGCAGGATGGCATGACGATCTCTTTGACATGGTCGTTCGGTCTATCTTTAAGGCCACCATGGGACCGATTTTTAGTCATGAACTCGTCTCGGATGAGATGTACGAACACTTTAGAGTACGTCTGGCCAGGAAGCAATTGAATTGCATGCCACAGACACCCAGCGTCACGATGGCCTCTCACACATTTGCTTTTCCCATCAGGTCTTTGACAAGGGTGTGATTCTGCTCTTCAGTCAAGCACCGCAGTTCTTGACCAAAGAGGCACGACAAGCACGTACTGCCATTCGACAGCAACTGGAAACCAACGAGTTTTGGAAACAAGCCTCGGGATTGATGAAGGCACGAAAGCAAGCCTTTGAGGAACTCTCCGAGGCTGCCTTTTTCAAGACGTCAGTGGGTCTCTTGTGGGCATCTGTGGGGAATACCTCACCGGCGGTCTTCTGGACCTTGCTCCTGCTCTTGGAACATCCTAAAGCGTGGGATGCCTGTTATGCGCAGGTACAAGCCATTGTCGACCGAAAGAAGCGTAACAATGATGAAGATGCTTGTCTGTTTACATTGGAGGAACTCGATGAAATGACACTGTTGCAATCTGCATTTCAAGAATCTCTGCGATTGTATCAAGGTAACTTTACAGCCCGTCGAGTGGTGCAAGACTTTGTCCTCGAGACACCGGCCCAAAACTACCGCATCCCCGCCGGAACCAAACTGATGGCATGGTGGGGTGTCCTCCATCGGGATCCTGACATATTCGAAAACGCTGATGAATTCCAGTACGATCGCTTTGTCGATAAGTCACGCAAGGACTTTACCTTTCGAGATGGCAAGACGTTGCCGCATGAACCGGTCATTCCCTTTGGAGGCGGTGAGCAATACTGTCCTGGACGCAAGTTCGCAGCCTACGAAGCGAAACTGTTTCTGGCCATGATGATGCAAACCTTTGACATGAAACTGGACCGAGCAACATATCAACGACCCAAGATTGATCCGGCCATGGCGGGTATTGGGGTGTCTCATCCAGATTCCAAGGTGAAGGTTCTGATTCAACCCAGGAATAAGAATCAATAGATGACAGTTTGATTGAACAAGTAATGACAAGGTACTAAATGCTTCCCACCGCTGAGTTTGCGGTTTGGGCGGTGTGCTACAGGCAGGCTGTAGATGCGTGAGGTTTCTTTCTACATGTACGGTACGGCAACCAGCATGCTGCTTTTACAACGCCACATGCAACCATCAGAAGACTGGGCGCCTTGCACAGCCTGCTTGGGCACCAGCTCGCTAGCGTAACACGACGCATAAGAAGTGATTGACCCGACCCGACCCGACCACAAGTAGTGCCGGCACCTCTGTCCTGCTGTCCAGTCTACTACTAGAGCTGGTCGAGAAACTGGGTACATGTATCTTCCTTCGACCCGAGGACCTTGCAATAGTCCAGAGCTTACGGTAGCTCGAAAACTACGTACTAGTCGGAAGCGATGAGCTACGAGGCGATCTGCTGCCTGCAAGCTGGTAGCTAGAGAGTAGCAGCCAATGGAATGCAATGCGTTTTTCTAAAAGTAACACTATTGTAGAGCTGTTAAATTGAAGTAGCCGTACATTCGTTGTGTAGCATAGCCGTATAGGAATTCAAAGTAAGATCCTCCCATGTCTACTAGCTGAGGAAGGTGGTCGGGACAAACAAGATATGCAACGGTGAACGTGTTGTGTGGTCGTGTGATGTAATGCAGACAAGACTGATCTGAGGAACTAAAGAATGGGGAGTGAGGCAAGGGCTGCTCACTGACAAAAGCCAGCAACCTCTTTACTCGGCCTTAGCGCGAGCTCCGGCTTCGTTGATCTTGCGCTGCTTGTCAATCCAGCCGCCAGGCTTGAAGCAGGCCCAGTTCTGGACGGTGAAGTTTCCAGTCTCGTTGTGGACAACATGGTCATGCATCAAAGCGTTGACCTTGTGGAGATTGAAGAAGGGGACCATGGGGTAGCAGTGGTGCTCGGCATGGAAGTTGGTATCCCAGAGCAAGGTGCGGATGAGAATGTTGGAGCGGACAGTGCGAGTGTTCAAGAGGCAGTTGGGGATATCGGAGACTTCGCAGTCTGCGTGTTCCAAGTTGCGGCAGTAGTTCACAACGGGGTATCCGATCAACACGGGGCACAACCACCAGAAAGCAAGATTCTGAAGTCCTTCCATGGTCTGTCCAAAGTTTGCGACAATGGCGGCTTGGCACAGGACCTGGCATATAGCCCAATTCTGAATCTGCTTCATAATTCCACTCTCCTTGCTGTAAGTCCACTCCTTAAGGCTCCATCCAGTACCGCTGTAATCCACAGCAACGCCAAGGATGGAGAAGAAGACTCTTCCGAGGCGACACTTGAAAGTGTAGAAGACATCCAAGAATTGCATGAGATATCCAAAGCGTGTGAAAGGCACGTTGCGGAACCCAGGGAGTTCAAGCTGCTCGCGAGTGTAGTAACTGGTGAGTTCGGGGTCCTTGTCAATGTTGTTGGTATAGGTGTGGTGCTGCTTGTGCATCACGCGTTCGTGTGCACCAAGTTCAAAGGTGAAGACTCCGGTGAGGAAGAGGACCAAGTCATTGATCCACTTGGTTTTGAAGGCGTTGCGGTGCAAGAACTCGTGCTGTCCGGCGAATGCAAAGGCTTGGAACTGAAATCCATAGAATGGGTAGAGAATGCAGAAAGCAACTAGCTTGAGGATGAGCTCCGGTTGATCAAGGATCTTCTGAGGGTCCGCCAGAAGGCTCTTGATATCCAACTGGCGGATGGCGTATATGGTCAATGCCCCGATGCTCAAGTTGATGAAGAGACGTTCAAATCCCTTGTAGTCAGACTTCTTCATGAGCTTGATCAAAACTCCATCTGCGGTAACATTGGCATTGACGGGGAGGCCAGACAGTTGGAGACGGTTAGGCACGACAGGACAAATGGTAGCAGACTCCGGAGCACACCGCTACTCACCGTCGAGGATACGATCACGCTTCTTGCGCTCACTGTGCTTAACATCGGTCCAGTCTTCGTTATCACCGTTTATGTTCTTCAAGCCATCAGTATCGGCATGTTTGTCCAACAACTCGGTGAGCTTGGCTTGGTCAACATCGTTGGCAGTCAAGAGCTCGGTGTCATTGGAAAGATAGATGGGCTTAAGATTGGGAGCCATGGTTGAAAGAAAAAATTGGGAAAATAGAGAACGTAGAGAAGAGGGGAAAACTTGCTTATTGGCAGCAGGACGCACGGCTTTGTTTTGGTCGCAGTCAGATTGTGCGAAAACAAAAATTGTGAGCCTATCCCATCCACACCTTCTAACTTTACTAAATTGAAGGGTCGGTTAACCTAGCGCTCAGCTCTCAGCTCGATAGGTAACACAAACCAGTTGGCTGATTGGCATTGTTTGACTGGAGGGTGTCAATCAACGCAAAACTGCCTAGGTGGTCGCTGGAAGCTGAGGATTGAGCAAATCTTTGATTTGATTGACCTGGGCTTGACATTTGACATCGACCGTGTCAAGACCGTCCAAAAAGTGACAACCATTCCCAATTGCCTCACAGCCGTACATTCCCACGGGCTTCTTGCCAAATAAATACTTAGAGAACCCCAGACTGCAACGCGCTTATATTGTCGTTTGGGTGTTCTTGTGTCTTTCTGTCAATTTTAAATTTTTTCAAGTTGTAAGGTAGCTGGCTCTATTTCTCCTTTGTCCTTCGAGCTTCCAGGAAACAAGATTTACGGACTCACATTCTTACTCTTGCGCTGAAAACATGTGGCGTGGCGCGACCTCGAAACGATCGTGTTGCGCCCATGCAATTGCACTGCATTTGCATCCTCTATTGGTCATCAAAAAGGTTGTCCATCCAATCAGGAAGGGTTGTGGGGTTGTAGATCTAATGTTTATGATTAGTACTTTCGAGTACAGCTGACCGTGACTGTGGTACAGTCAACATTCAGATATATATACTGGGGGGGATTCAGGAATTCAGTAAATATAACAGCGAGAATAAATATTGATTTTATCCCTAACCCTAACTATTCCCGTAGAGTTGTACGTGCTCTAGTACTAAAATAGGGTTAGAGTTAAAAATGTGGGAACTGGAGTATTCTTAAATATTATAGAGCGAATAAATACAAGATTATAAATATAAGCGAGCGTTGACTGTACACAAAGCAAAACTAACTGTGTGGGCGGTGGGCGGGGCTCCACTTTTTTGGATTTTATTAGCTCCACAGTTGGGAAGGCGACGAGACAAGCTCCAAAGATACCTCTGCAAGGGTTCGGCCCTCTACGTGGTGGCCTGCTTCCTGCTGCATTTGCGCACGAGGAAGGGAGGTTGGCCAAGAGCTCCAATAGATGCCTCTGGTAGTAGTGTTCTTAGATTGCGAAAGAGGGTGGCCAAATATCTTCGGATTCCTCGATTCGATTTGATTCCTTCCTATGGCAAAGCTAAAGATTCTATTCATTATTAGCTAACTAAACGTTTCCTTTAGAATGCAATCATTAATTTTTTTTAAGCTGATGTTAAAATGCCGGTACTAGCTAGCTACTAGAGGGCAGCTGAGAGGAGTGATTGCCGGCTTCCCATGGTGCTGACACTAGAGACTAGTGTACCGGTATATTTAGAGCAATTGAGGCTTGATTCGAGGGTGTCTATAGGTTTCATCCGCCACAACTGCATGAGAGGAGGTGGCTGCCCCGGTGCCGGCCGTGCGCTGTAAAGTGATGGTGAATGGTCGGTAGATTGGTGAGAAGATGGAAACATTGCCTAGCCAACCAAATTGAATCGTTTTACTTGCCATCTCTGGTTACCAAAACAGCAACAAGGAATCTTGAAGCTAACCTCACTGACAGCCAGACCTAATGACCACCTACCGGTACTATCTAGCTAGCATGCATACCGGGTATCGAAGCCAGCCTTTTGTGCCTCGTGGTAGCTCTGCACCTTTGCTTGCTGCCGGGTCCCCCCGTCCTCCAGGTGTCAGCCATTGAAGGCCCAATCACCGATTGGCGTCACAAACCGTTTGTGTCTTACTCTAGACCAGAGCAACTCTAATATTTGGTGACCTGTAACGTTTGACATCTATGGTGTCAACCCAACGCTCCTGACACCACAAAAGGCTATGCCTCTCGCCACTGCCCAATCATTGAAAATTCTAGTTTGACAATGCGTTTTTAGAGCTTCGGCGAAAAAAGGATTCCGAGAGGAAGGCGGTCTTTAAAAAAGGTGGATTGAACACTTTTGGTGGCATTGAGAGCTGAGTGGACATGCTGACTACTTTGTGGAGAGAGGCGAGAGAGAGAGAGAGAGGTGAGCGAACAGAATCTATTGTCATTGCACCAAACTATAGAAAGCAACAGCTGAGCACGTCCTTTCCGAGAAAGGACCGTTCCCTTCCTAGCTAGCTCGATCTAGCTTGCATGTATGATAGAGGGATTCCTAGTCAGGTTCCATTGAGCTGACAGCTGACCGGTCCAAGGTCCTGCAACGAGGAATACACAGATAGCCAGCTACATAGACGTGACCCGTTGCGTCCCGGCAGCAAGCTAGTAGATGCCATGTCGTTGCAGTGGTACCGATACCGGTAGCGCTCGGTCTCAAGAGACCCTGAACGTGCTTTCTTCGTCACCTACAACGCTCCTTGCCTTGCAAGTGCGAAGCAGAGGTCCGGATGCTGAAATGTCAGGTGAGTCAAGCTTATAGCTACATCAAAATATGCACGTTGGTGACGAGATAGAGGGTTTCTACAAAGCCAACTTGGCTGTCCATGTCCGTACAACCATGCGCTACGACGACAGACAGCAGCGTTGAGCATTGGAAATGACACTTTGGTAGTCTCCAGCTGGGGCGACAACACTATGCCTTCAATGAAGTTGAGGCTCTCTAAGGAGAGTCTGTGTGTTGGTCACAATTGGTGGGTCCCCAGTCGCATGAGCAAAAATCACCCACCAAGACGAGCACATATTTGATGTGCGTCCTTGAAAATGGCCAAAACCACTATTGCTTAGCAAGGGTGCGGTGAGTGTCAAGGTCCACCGTGTCAGACGTGAAGGCTTTGGTGGTGTTGTAGGTTTGTTTGGTGACCACCATGGACACATGCTTGCACGGTGCGGTGTTACTGATTTGCATGATGGCATCAATGCCACGGGGCACGAGTGGCAGGTCCGTGAGGATGAACCAATGCTCTTTTGCACTGTCCATGCTCCTCATGCTCCTCATGATAGGTGCCGCCTTCCCGACTTGTCAAAGCTGCAAAGACTGCGTGTGGTCGCCTCAAGGGGGGCACCCATGTATTTGCCAACTGTGTCTATTATATGGCTACCGCCAAATATCTTGATCGAGCCAAGATTGGAGTTTCTAGCTAGCTAAGAGAAAGCTTTGCTTCCAATGGCCTCTACGTGTTTGTGTGCAAGTCTCCGTGGCTGGAAAGGACCATTGCTTTGCTTTGTGTAGTATTGGCAGGGTAAAGGACAACTTCAGCCGGGGAGAAACAAACATGCAGTCTCTCGAGGCGCATTTGCAGATAAGTCCTTCGACTATTCATTTTGCCACCAAACATCAGAGAAACAAGAATCCTACTTGATGGCATCATTACCAGCGTTGAAACACCCTACGAGCTGGCTCTTGAGCTATTGTCGAATGTGATTTTGGTTGTTGTAAAGACTCTCTAACTAGGTCCTTCCATCATATCTCTGACGAACAGAGCATCGGATTGGCGTGAAGTAGATAAAACAGGCAGTTTAGATCGTGTCGCGTGTTGACGATTGCTTGTATCCAGGATTGTCGAGGAGGGGCCCCGTGCAACAGCTCCTCGCGTCCCACTTCATTCAACAAGAGCAAATAGTGCATTTCTTCGCTAATTCGTTCCGGTGTTTGCAGCTCCAATACTTTCAATTTCATATTGTCGGTTCGCAGCACATCCACAAAGAACTCTTCGCTAGCCGCAGACACGTGTTTTTCCCCGTAGAGGCCAAACTCGAGCAAGTGGCCAGCTGTCCTGAGCGCCTGAGCAATCCGTTGATTGTCGTGGTCCGACTCTAAAGAGTTTATTCGGATCCATAGCTTTTCCAGTGTATGGTTGTTTTGAAGCATTTGCTGTAGAGCCGGTCCGCCTGAAGCCCCACAAGTCAATCCCAAACTAGCCTCTCGTACACTGGTGTTTTGTTCCAGTGCTGCCAGAAGGGCTTGTGATGCTTCGTCGCATAGCACTGTCGAAAAGAGCACCACCTTTTGCAAACTGTGGGACGCAAACAGTGACGGTACAGTCTCTGAAACCGAATTGGTCGCTCGGATGGCGACCACCTTTAGGTTTGGCAAGGTAGCCAAGAGTCGCATCAATCGAGATTCCACATTGTGAAACCATACTCCCGACATTCGAAATTCTTCCAGTGAAACCTGCTGTTCCAACACGGCCCAGAATGCCAATTCATCTTGTTCCGCCCAGCTTTTGAGTTTCAGACTGGAAAGATCCAAATGTACCACGCCAGCACAAAATTCCAATATCCTTGTCACGCAATGCAGATGCAATGGATGAGCAGCACAGGCGGGACCCTGAATTTTTATCGTTCTCGTTTGGGATAGCCCCGAGCCGATGGCTTGCAAAAGCGGATACTGCCATTCTATGTTGTCGGGTTCGCCTTCCGCGCAAAAGGAAGAATCCAACCGGATAGTTACTTCCTCAACGTCGTGTCTCGACCGACGCAGCCTGTTCTTCAAGGCTACGGGGTCGGATCGATATGAGACTTCTATATCAATCCTCGATGGTGTTGTCATGGTTGATGCCATGTTGCTGTCTTCCAAAGAGGTGTGTCTTGTGTCTTGCTTGGTGTTCGGTGTTGTTGTTGTCTTGGTCTCACTTCATTCTTCTTTTCACAACTGCATTAGGGTTCAGGCTACTGAATACCCGAGCTCGGCGAGACGTTTCCGTTGTTTGGCGCCTCACAAATTCAAATCCACAGCATTTGTGCCAAGTCGTCCACACAAGCGCTTCACATCAGTCACATCAGGAAGCGAAGTTACAGTGTACGGTAGGCTGTATCCATCCCGCAAAGTACCGTACGAAACAAAACCAAACACATCCAACCATGGCATCTGGCAACCGCCTCGCTCAATTGAAAGAGACTCTCAAGTTGATGGAAGACTTTCAGCTTCCAGAAGACATTCAAGCAGCTTTTTCGAGTGAATCCTTGAATCCAGAATTGCTGCGGAGATACAACACCGCCCGCGATGAATATTTGCGTCGCCGGATCCAAGAAGAGTTCTTGGATTACATGGAAACATTTGATGGAGATACAATTCTCGAAATTCCCGAACTGCCCACCGAAGAGCAACAGGCAGAATTGGACAAGACATTGCAGGAGCTACAAACCGATTTGAACCAGGCGGCACAAGCCATTCACCAGCAAGCTTTGGAGCTCCAACAGAAACATGAAACGTTTTGTCTGCAAAGAGAGGAATTGCGGAAAATGGTAACGGACCACCAAAGCAACAACAATCCACAATCCATGGAAGTGGATGACGACGACGGTGACGCCATGTCGGATGACGACGACGACGACGAAGATGCTCTGGATCAAGAAGAAGAGCGATTGACCATGTTGCAGCAGAAAAAGGCTCGACTCCAAGTACAACTGAAACAATTGCAGGAAGAAAGTGCCAAAATTGAAGCCGACGCTGAAAAAACGGAAGCTCAAGTCAAGGAAATGCTGGGAGGCCAGGAACCACCGTCACCCACTGCGCTGCAGGCCGAAACGGAAGAAACCAACAAAACATTGGCCGAGTTCCAAAAAATGCAAGATTTCTACGACGGGCTGCGACTCATGATGGAGGAACTCACGGGCATTCAACTGGTAAAAACTACCACAACAACCGCAAAAGAATCGGACGACTCTGATGAAGGAGCAGCAACCCCTCCTTCTGTGATTTTTCATGTGCGTCTCCTACAGAAGCACGACGTGAGTGTCACACTCTGTCCAGACCCGAACAAACCAGAGGAGCTTCGAGTCAAGTCAGCAAAATTTCTGACGTCGACAGAGGTCTACGCTCCTAAGGAAGCCGGAAAGGATCAGAAGGATGAAAACAAGGAGAATGCTTTGAAATTGACCATTCCGAACCTAGAGGACTTGGTCAAGCTGAGTGCCATCTTCCCTGCCGGCGACGACCTCCGATTTGTCATTCGAGAAACAATGGCCCGTGTACGTGTGACAGAAGCACAGGTTGTGGAGTTGGCAGAATTGGACAAATTCGTCTTGACCAGAATTGAGAAACCGTGCGGTCTGGAACAACCCCTTGTGTGCAGCCTCAATGAAGAATGCATCACTGTAGTCTTGCGGTTGTCGCCCGATTGCCCCATTGTCCCGGGTAGCGTTTACATTCATCATATGGTTGGACTTGGCTGGGATGACGACAAAGTTGAACTGGTGAAAGCAAATGTTTCCAAAAAGCTCTTCCAGAGACCAATCGCAGTGATCCAAGGGGTCAAAGCAGAAATTGCTCGGCTCCGAGAGGAAGAGGGTTTGACCGTCCCCAGCACTCCTGTTCTCCCGCTGCGAAAGAAAAACAATTGAGTAGCCGTACAGGACGACAACCAATCATCAAAACTACACAATATATGACGAATAGATGGGGCACTCTCGGTCAATTATTTGCAGGGTACAGAAGAGAGCACTTTTTAGCGTGATTATTTATTTCTTAGCGTATAGATCTATCTGTAGTCCTATGACTCTTTCCATTTTGTGTCGGCTACGATCTCATCGTCGTTGCTGGAATCGTAAGAAGGGTCGTCCGGATCGGGTGTAGACTGCACCAGATTCAAGTCCTTCAATATAGCTGCAGCCCTTTCTCCTAACGGAAGGCTAGCATACCGCTTGGCACGTTCATCTTCTTCTGTCGCAGGTAACGTCTCTGCTGCCAATGGTTCTTCCTTGGTTTCAGGCTCTTCTTTGGGGTCCAGTGTTGATTCCAGGGATTCTGTCTTGTCTAGCTCATCCGTTGCTGGTGGCTCTTCCTGGGATAACACTGCTTCTTCTAAATTTGATTGTGGTTCGCTCTCTGTCGGTTCTTCCGTGGTAGATTGTGGTTCGCTATCTGTTGGTTCTTCCTCGGCGGGTGACTTATCATCATCGTCTTTTGTCGATTCCATGGATGCATCCGTTGTCATCTCTTCCTCTGGCGGTGGAGGGACGAGCACTCGTGCTTCTGACTCTGCTGCCTCCTCCTTTGGCGGTGGTGGGACGAGCACCCGTGCTTCGGTCTCTGTGGACTCTGCTACACTGTTTTCTGGCTCGTCCTTTGGTGGCGGAGGGACAATAACTCGTGCTTCTGACTCTGTTCCAGATTCTGCTTCGCTCGTTGCTGGCACATCCTTTGGTGGTGGTGGGACAAGCACTCGCGCTTCGGGCTCTGTTTCACTCTCACCCAATACCGGTTCCGCCACGGGCTTTGCCTCTTCTGGCTCGTCCGATGCGGGTGCCGCTGTTTCTATTGTTGGGTTCTCATCTGTGGATTCAACCTCTACTGAAGACGACGCAACCTCCTGCTTATCAACATCCTCTAGCGTATCAGTGGCTTCACTCTCCTCTTCTACAACAGTCCCTGGAGTCGTCACAGTAGGAATGGTGGTTGTTGCAGTGATATCATCTTCGCCCTTGCTTTCTGGATCAGATTCTGGAGTCGGGCTCTCCTCCAAAGCTGGGGTTGGTTCCTCAATGGTTTCTGCTTCCTCCTCCTCCTTGGTAGCCAATCCTGTGGCTTGAAGTGGCTCCACCACTGTCTGAGTAGCGGTATCCGGTTGGGCAGTTTCCACAGCACTTGAGGCTGCTTTGGCTACTAATGGCTCTCGCAGTGGTGGTAGTCCTTCTGCCATGACAGGAAGAGCTTGACCAAAGTCAGTTGACACACAAGCTGGAACTTTGGCTTCAAAAACCGTAGGTTGTGGCGTCTCTTTTTCTGACGTTGCTGGTTCTACTGGAGCAGGTTCTGGCTCGGGTTGGACTGCTTCTTCTGAAAGTATTACCTCCTCTGCCTTTGACGGTACTGCCTCTTCTTCTTTTGCCTCCTCAGGTTGTTCTTCTTTAGCAGCAATCTCGGGTTCCTCTATGCTTGGTGGCTGCACCTCTTCAGTGGAGTCTTCTTTTTCATCGGCGTCTGATTCTTTGTCGCCCGCGTCTTCCAATACTGCTTTGGAGGTTTCCTCTTCTGTTTTTGTCTCTGGGTCGGCTTTATCAGGTCCATCAGTGGAAGCTGCCATCCGTTGGTTAATGTCATCCAGAAGCATTTGTGTCTTCTTCTGCTCAATTTCCTTTTGCTTGGACTCACTAACCACAGGAGATGTGGCTTCTGATGCCGTCGTTGTTGAGCCAGTCGCTGACTTTTCCCATGTTTCCAACAGCTCCTGTGTTTTCGACCCATCTCCAGATTTCTGGTCCTCTTCCATGGCCTTGGTCAAGGCTGACATTTGCAGCTGCATAACCATAAAGGACGCTGCTGAGCGAATTTTATCGCTGGCGGTCTCTGGTACCTTTTCCTCCTCTTTCTTCTTCTGCTTGGCAGCGAGATTGGATCCTGGACCCGTCATCATGGGATCCGATAATGGCTGCGCTACGGAACGGGCAAACCATGGCGTTGGTCGCCGCCCACCGAAGAACGGCTGAAAGGCTACAATACCATTAGAATTAATGACCAGAACTGCCAACAGCAGCAAGCCTCTGACCATTGTGGTGGTTCTCGGTTGCCGTCGACAGTGTGTCATGGTCAGCAGATACGGTATCTATGATGTGGGTCTTCTCATCGAGAAATGGGGACGATACTTGGATCTTTCGCCTCGACTTGTTCCACGGGTTGAGGCTGTCACCCGATCCAAACGGGAAAATCATAAGCTCATAACCCATTTGATCAGTAAATAACGCGACTGAGCTGTATTTGCACTGTAACAGGTGCAGGCAAAAGATAAGCATTTTTGGTAGAAGGCCAGACCTCATCCTCACCTCAAGTTATTCGGCCGTCACTCGCCTCCATCCACGAGACCCACACCGACGAAACAGATTTACTTATTAAAGCAATCATCCATCCGAACTGAGTTGGTTTTGTTGAGGAGGCTAATCTACTTTGCTACCGTACTCAGGACCCAAGTTGTCTACAAAGGTCCGCTTGTTGGCGTTCTAAGTGAGTGGGCAAGTAACTATAGCTGGATATACCCTCCAGAGTGAGTCTCCCAGACGATTTCCCCTGCCACCTCCAGCAATCTACAACCAACAATCTGCGCCGATTAGCTTGACTACCGCTAGCTAGCAAGCGAAGAACTATTTCCCTTATCTCATCTCAGAATAGAAATTTACGTTGACAATGTCAGCAGAGGAAGAAACCAAAAAAGAAGGCGGGGATGATGCACCAGTTGTTTCTGCCACAGCTGCTCTGCTGGGTCCTGAAGAGAATGGGGGGTTTCGCCTCTACTTGAACGATGATCGCAAGAATCTGGATTGTCGTTTCTACGAAAACCAATTCCCGGAAATTGAGAGTGTGGTGATGGTCAATGTGCGTTCCATTGCCGACATGGGTGCCTATGTCAGTCTGCTGGAATACAACAACATCGAGGGAATGATCCTGTTGAGTGAACTGTCACGTCGTCGTATTCGATCCATTCACAGACTCATCCGAGTCAATCGTAATGAAGTTGTCATGGTTTTGCGTGTTGACAAGGACAAGGGATACATTGACTTGTCCAAACGTCGAGTCAGTCCCGAAGATGTTGCTGCTTGTGAAGAGCGCTTCAACAAGGCCAAAGCAGTTCATGGTGTCTTTCGACATGTCTGTGAACGAAGAAAGTTCTACTTGGAAGACATCTATGAACGAATTGGATGGCCACTCTACAAGAAATACGGACATGCCTATGATGCCTTTCGTTTAGCCATTTCGGATGAAAAGAATGCGGTGGATCCCTTCACCGATATTGATGTCCCACAGGATCTCAAGGATGAAATCAAAACGTACATTTTGCGACGATTGGCACCTCAACCCATCAAAATCCGATCGGATATTGAAGTCAGCTGCTTTACCTACGAAGGGATTGATGCCATTCGCGATGCCCTATTTGCGGGCATGGAGGTGGGAACTGACAATTCGCAAATCAAAATCAAACTGATCGCACCTCCTATCTATGTCATGTCGACAACCACACTGGAAAAAGAAGTTGGAATTGCTCTGCTCAACTCGGCGATTGATGTCATTCGTGGAAAGATTTCAGAAAAGGGAGGTAAAATTGATGTCAAAATGGCACCCAAGGCTGTCAGTATCAAGGAAGAAACAGAATTGGCAGCTATGATGGAACGAATGGCACTCGAAAATGAAGAAGTAGATGGTGATGCACCAGAGGATGAGTAAAGAAAACACAACAATGCAGACTGATGCTACTAACTACTTAGAAATGCCACTATTCATTGTGGACCACCAGATTGCTGAATCGAATCCATCGAAATACACTAGTCTACCAGTGGAACTACATGTAGCTGCTCGCCACTAGAAGCTAGCCAATGCTTGCTCTTACTTGAGGCCTTTCTTGTGGGAAGATTGAGTTCCTTTAGTCTTCTCCGTTGTGTCCTGGATCCGGCGTGTAGCAATTACTATCTACCGGTACTACATGGTACTAGCTAGTCCTACAGCAGCTTCGAGATGATCTCTCTAGGTTCAATTCGATTCATTACCAACAGTTTTCCTCTTCCACGTTGTGCTTTCGGGAACTGTACCGCCCAGCCCAATCTGTCCCTGCTCTAGCTAGTACGCGGAACCTTGTCCCTTCGCAGCAACGTCGCGAAATAGCCTCGATGAATGGACTAGCTAGCTACCGTTAGCGCTAGCTAGTAGTTCATACCATTGGTTTTCAAGAATCAATCCACAGGCATCACTGGGATCGACATGGCTTGCAATATTTGTTGGTATTCGGGTGTCCAGTTTCCTTGATCATCTCGGACACTCACACAATCCAACACTTGCGTATCCGTTGGCGGCTCCTCGTGAAAATAGGATTGTTTCCTCATGACGTAGACGGCAAACAACGGACACGGTTTGCCGGTTCGTCCTTGAATCGGCAGCACTTGTACCACCACTAAACCAGCCTGCGCGGCACCCTGATATACCCGATCATTGTTGAGCCAATTTTCGCAGACACAAAAAATGGATTGTCTGTGCATGGCCGTCGAAGCGGCTTGGCAGTAGGCTTCAATGCCACCACGGAATTCACATCGTGCCGGTGCGGATTGTTTACAAGTGGGCATTCCACCTTGCTGAATGACGGCTTTTTGCACTACCTTGTCATTGTTGTTCTGGACGGTAAAATCCACACGAAAGTAAGGTGGCGTCCCCGTGACCAAGTCGTAGTAGTGGCATTCTTTGTTGTTGTCGTCGTCTTGGCTACGATTGAGGATGCTGTCGAGGACGGTTCGAAAATCGCCATGATGCACGTTCACCGTACAATTGTTGTTGTTGCTGTTCTCGTCGCCCACATTAAAGGCAATGGATCGTCGTGCCAATTCGACCGCCTCTTGCCGTGCTTCAACCCCCGTACAAGTAATCCGGTTGTTGTTGGTAGAATGATTCTTCAGTAATTGCCACGTGGTCATGAGCAATACCGAGCCATTGCCGCATCCCAAGTCCAGATAGCGAATTGTCTTGTTGTTGTTGTTTTTCGTAATGTGTTGCTCTCGAGACACACGCCCCGCCAGAAAGGATGTGACCAAATCATCGGTCGTCCATCGATGCGACGCGACTCGTTGCAGAATTCTCCATTGTCCCATAAGATTGCACAATTGTTCTCCTCGACGAGGGAGCCATGGAGGAATGGGGTCCTCTGTGTTTGTTTGAAATGGACTCTTCACTGAAATCTCTTGATTATTGTTGTTGTCGTCAGTTGGTGTTTGCGACTCTGGCAGAATGACAAGAATTTCCTGGTTGGCAGTCTCCGCCAAACGAACCAGTTGGATGGCCTTTTGTAGATTGTGGGGTGGAGACGACTGTGTGGTTGGTAGCAGGACTGCAGGAACAGGTCCTTGAGGGGTCCAGTTAGGTGGAGATTGACGTGCTCGAGTTATTTCCCCGGGTCGAGATTCTTGGGCCACCACTTCTTGTTGTTTGGGAGGCAAATGGCCCTTTCCTTGACAGACCGAACAATTGCTTACAGCTTCGGAGTGTTTTCGCTTTTTCTTCTTGTCCTTCTTTTCGCCCGTCCCTCGACACTTCCAGCAAATGGGACCTTCTCGACTGGATGGATCAGAACTATTATTTTTAACGCTACTCCAACCAGGAGCATCGTCGACCAGAGATCCCTTTCCAGCAGGAACAAACCGCTCAATCTGTTCCACCATCTTATTGAGAGGTAACGTCAACTACGAGTTGGGCTGTTGAGTTGGGATGGCATACAGGGCATAGCAAAGCCACTCATTCGAACATGTCACCCTGGCAAAGACAACCCCTTTGGTCCTCGTGTTGCCCCCCTGGAGCCTACTAGTACACTAGTACCCCCCATGACCCCAAAGAACACGCTTATGTCTATTGATTACTCCCTCCGTCCCAATCCAATCTAACATCAGCGCCGGCCGTACTCAATCGGCCACAGTAATAGAGACCAAAACGAGCCAGCCGGATTGGCGAATGGCCCCCACAATGCCGTTAAACACTGTAACCGCCAAAATTGACATTTTTTAAGTCCGCTTAAGAAGCTTGATATTTGCCTCTAAGGCTTCTCCTATATCCAAGGATTCTTTTGATATAATATACTTATATGTTTCTATGTCAATGTCTTTCTGGCTTGGGACCTTTAATCCCAGATCGCAGTTTTCGATTTTTAAGGCGACCTGGTGGCTTAAGAAGTGCACAACTTATATATCAATATATACATGGATTTAAAGAGCTCGAAATTAGCTTTCTAGATCTGTGCCGCTTGCCTTAATTGGATGAGTATTTGTTTAACGAGATTGATTCTCCCCAGACCTGCACATTGGATTGGGACAGAGGGAGTACCTAACGGTTACCGGTACCAGAGAACCGGTACATCCAACTTCAAAACAAGCAAATAAATCGGTTCAGATGACATCATCTTACGTGGAGGAAAGATTTCCATTGGCAACCACACACAATTAATTGTGGTCCGAGGAGCTCAAGAAGACGTTGCGACAACAGTGTTTGTTGATATCCCTGTTGATAATATACTAGTAGTCCAGCATTAGAAACATGTCGAACGGAGAAAAGGTAGCTCAGATTGCCATGGTTGGAGCAGGTGAGTGCCTAACGAGCGACAGTCATTGGGAATGAGGGGTATACGAAAGATTGTACCCCATCAATCATTCATCATGCATTATTCTGACCGTCACTGCACTCGTCTAATATTTGATCAATTGATCGGTACAGGCTGGTGGTCCCAAGGATGGCATCTTCCCCATTTGAGTCGGAATCCCAACTCGAAAATTGTGGCCATTGTCGACACGGCAGAGCACCCAAAATCTAGTCTGGATCCTAATCTACAGCCGTTGGCAGCACTCCAAGAAAAATACGAATGTCCCATATTTTCTTCTGTCCAAGAATTGTTTGAAAAGGAACCGGACTTGGCGGCCAGTCTAGATGGAGTCATTGTTTGGTAAGGATACAACATAAAGTGCCGGTACTCTAGGATCCGAGAGTGACTCCCACCAAAGAGACCTCGCTGACTTTTGCTATTGCTTTCCCCCCAAAAAGTACTCCCCATGCAACTCACAGTGATATTGGAGGCTTTCTCCTACAACAATCTGCATCCAGAGCCAAACCACTACACGTTCTCATGGAAAAACCAATGACCACCAATGTCGATCAGGCCAAAAAGCTACACAGGGCTGCATCCTCCTCGCCATCGTCACTGTTCATGGTCAATCACAGCGCCAACTTTATTCCACAAACCATTCAAGCCCGAAAACTGGTCGAGAGTGGTGCCATTGGAGATATTCAACACATTACGGGATTCATGGCATCCCCACTGTCGTGGATCTTTGAAGATCCCGCCAACACGGGGTGGAATGAACCCACACCAGGAGTCATGATTGGCAATGGATTTGCTTGGGGACAGGCGTCCCATTTGTTGGCATGGATCTACCATGTATGTGGGCCTACCGCTTTGATTCCACAAAAGGTGTACTGTACCATGCATCATTCTCAAACCACCGGAGCCGATGTGGCACATGCGGCATCCATTAATTGCAACAACAATGTCACCATGAGTCTCTCCGGTACAAGTCTCTTGCCGGGAAATGCACATTCCGATCCTCCCGTTGCCAAACAAATCGATATCAAGATTTATGGAACCAAGGGTGCCATTCATTACGGAGGTGACGATCGGGAGTCCACGTCGGGACGATTGGAATTGCGCAGAGGGCCGGGCCATGACGACGAGGGTGCCGTTCAAGTGCATTGCCCCGATTTGGGATTTCAGTTTGAAGAGTTGGATCAAGACGGTACGGGACCTCTGTCAGTGCAAAACTTTTTGAAAAAGTGCGTCGGTGACGAGTGCTATGTGGGAGCCGACAGTCTGGTGGGCTTTCGTAGCATTCAAACTCTGGATGCCATGTACCGGAGCCAGGCATCTGGCATGCCCGAAGAAGTCGTGCAGTGAAACTGTTTCGAACGGTCGCCCTCTATGCTACGCACACCGGTACGCTATCCTGCGCTGCCTATAATAAATTCCATTTAGAGCTGTACTGGTATCTCAAAAAACAGATATTGATACAGTAACAATGGCACTGTGCAAACGGAGAAGACCGGAACATGCACATGCGCACAAACAACGAATCCTCGCCAATTGTTGGGCCCAATGTTGTTGTTCTTGTTGGTTGTAGGATTGTCGCTCGCCCAGGTCGCACCTTTCAAAGGTTCCGACCAGGATCCAGCAGTGCGGCCGATCTATGAATGAATGCATGCTTCATCCATCCAGTACCGTAGGATTGGTTTTTTCACGTCGCTTAACTTGGACGTAGTCCCTGTAGAGTGTCATTTTCTTGATGGGATGAGCGAACAACCAACCATTGCTTTTATCCCGTTCATGATAGTCTCGCTCGTACTGCTTCCCTTCCTCCATCAAGGCATCAAAGTTGGTATTGAGATCTACCTTTGTCCCCGCCGCGATTCGCACAGTCTGGGGCCAATTTTTGTACCCAATGCCATCTCCATTGACCAAATCACAGGCTCGTTGCATGACTCTCTTGACATTGCTCTCCGAAATGGGATTCCCCCTGCTTTTGTGGATGTTCCGGAGCCAGTTTTCCAATTCTTTCTGATTGATGATATTGTTGTCTGGATCGTCAATATTGGAGATTGTCGTTCCAAACTCCAACTTGACTTTGATTTTCTTGTTGGGCTTATTGCTATTGGTAGTACCGGTAGTAGCAGCAGTATCATTGTTATCAGTGGCTTCGGCGGGAGCTGGCCGTTTTGCCTTTTCCGGTGTGACCACCCTGGGCTGCGTGGTAGTAGCAGCAGGTTCCTCCTCGGTCCACCTGAGATATCCCGTGTCCTCTTTATCGGTAAGATCGTAGTAGTCGTCATCGCTGTCTCCAAAGTGGACATAGTGCAGATATTCCAAGGGTTTGCTGGTATCATGGTTGGGAAAATACGAGAGGCACTTGCTGATCACTCCCTTGTAGAACTGTTGCGTACCAGTTTCGTCTACAAACTTGATCCAAACATCCTTTCCCAGGACCTCCTGCCTATAGAGTACAGAGATGCCTGCTTCCTCTTCCATCTTCTTGTCTTGGTGTTGTTGAGATGGTTGTACGGGTGCGGTATGGTACAGATCAATAGATGTTTGTGTTGGTGGGTTGCTTTGAAATTGCTCTTGTGGATGCACTTTGCATAGGTGCCGTACCGGTATGTACCGGTGTTAATTTTAAAAGATCGGTACTGCACGGTTCACGCGGGATCTTTTCGCCAAAGATCCAAAGATCTCTTTCAGCGATTGGCTCCAGTAGCCAGCCAGGCGATTGAAGATTCGATTCTCATGTTCTTGTCCTGCTCTTCTGCTGCCACCACTTCATTTCTGCCGTTGCCTCCGAGATTGATGCATCCATCGCCTCCAACCACCCTACGAGGACTACCTTTTACTAGCTAGTTCAGGCTCGAAGATAGTTGTCAAGTTATTAAATAGCACCAGAACCCACAGCAGCAACTAACTTGTTGCATAATTGGTTTTAAAGAACAATGTCAGATTCCAAGGCTCGCATTGCCGTGATTGGTTGTGGCTGGTGGGCGCAAGGATGGCACATTCCCCACTTGCTTTGTAACGACAACGTTATCATCTGTGCTCTGGTGGATAAGGTTTCTCAACCCACCAGTGACCTCAATCCCAATCTCGTTTCCATGGACCAGCTGCAAGAAATCTGTGGCAATTGTCCCGTCTACACTTCGGTCGAGGAACTCCTGCAGTCGGATGCCGGCAAGGAAATGAACGGAGCATTGCTGTGTACTCCCCATGCCACTCATTACCACCTGGCCGAGTTGCTGATCCAAGAAGGAATGAATCGGATTCTGGCGCAGCGACCACTCTTGCACATTCTCCTAGAAAAACCCATGACCACGGATGTCGAAGAAGCACAGAAACTGCACGATTTGGTCCATTCCTACTGGCGAACTTGCAGTATTACCAACAACAACAATAACAACAATGTACCCTATTTTCAACTCAATCATTCCGCAAATTTCCGACAACAAGCCAAGGTCGCTCGCGATCTCATTCAGAATCAAGCCAAAATTGGGACCATTCGACACATTAATGCCTCTATGGCGTCTCCTCTCTCCTGGTTGTTTGGTCATCCCAAAAATATCACGTGGAATACACCCACCGGAAACATGCTGGGGAATGGCTTTGCCTGGGGACAATCCTCGCATTTGTTGGCGTGGATCTATCACGTCACCGGAGATGCCGTCATGCCCGAGACGGTGTTTTGCCAAATGAATCACAGCGACACCAGTGGCGCCGACTTGTCCCATGCCGCCACGATTGTATGCCAAAACGACATTACCTTTAGTTTAGCCGGTACATGCCTGCTACCGGGCAATGAACATGGGGATCCACCCGTCGGGAAGGAAATTTCTGTCGAAATCTATGGTTCGGAGGGTGCCCTCTTTTACAAGGGTAATGATCATGATCCAGCCTCCGGAAGACTGGAACTGCGGACGGACACGACGGTCAAGGTGCTGTGCGACGAATTTCATTTTGAAAACACGGATCAGGAGGGGACCGGCCCCGAGTCATTGCAATCCTTCCTTGCTGCTTGTTTGGGAAGGAAGGACTACGACAAGGGTGCCAGCAGCTTGGTGGGCCTCAAAAGCATTCAGACGCTGGATGCCATGTATCGAAGTCATCACTCCGGCGCGGCCGAAAAGATTGCTGGCACCAGGGTGATTGAGAGGCGGGCGACGCCCTAGCTAGTGTCTACAATCTATCTTTTGCAGAGAAGCGGTGGGTATGATGAATCAATTTTCTATACAATACACTGGATCTCTACCTCCTAAACTAGAATCGACAAGCGGCCGGTTCAAACTTACTGTGAAGGCCCAGTGGGGGCTGTGTATCCCAAATGCTCGTTCAGAATCGAAAGCAACGCGTCTCTCTTGAGTGGCTTGTTGCGAAAACCGTCAAATGAGAGGGCTTTGCACTGTTCTCTGATATCCTCGCCCACTTCGCCTGTCAAAGCTATGATTGGAGTGGTGCAGCCCAGCTCTTTCTTTAGGATTCGGGTAGCTTCGATACCATCCATAATGGGCATCCGAATATCCATGAGTATCAAGTCGTACACACCAGGGTTCGTCTCCTTGATGATGTCGACGGCAACTTGGCCGTTCTCGGCCCACTTTGTTGAACAGTTGAGCCGATTGAGTTGCTTCAAAAGCAGCTTGGCACACATGGGAACGTCCTCGACCACCAAAACAGAGGGTGGTTCGAAAGCTTTAACTCCGCGGGAGACAATGTCCTGCTTGGGGCTCTCGGCTGGCTTGATTTCGGGTACCTTGGCGAACTTATTCTTGCTCTTGGTCTTGGATTTGAACACAATTCGCTCGACGGAGAGTTCGGTGCTAGAATGGGGGATTCCAAAGGAGAAGCAATTGCGGGTGCTTTCAGAGGAGTACCGCAAGTCTCCTCCCAACGCAGCCACCAAGTGATACGAGAGTGACAGTCCAATGTTCAGACTGTCGAAACGCTGACTGTTGATGCTCGCTTCAATCTTGCTTCGCAGTCCTCCCGCGGCAGCGACATCCCGGATCTCGTCGGGAAGGAGCTCCTGGTGATATTTTTGGAAAATTGGAGGCAGATCAGTGCCTGGCTTTTCACCTCCAAGCAACTTGGTCATATCACCGGAAGGGAGGTCGCTGTCGACCGACACCACCACTTGGAACTGGCAGACATCACCCTTGTTTCCAACGAACAGGGAAATGTGGCGGTGTTCCTGATCCGAGAAGTTGTACTGAGCATCTTGACCATTCGCACAATGATCCAGCAAGTGCCTAAGCACTTTCATCAGATAGTGTTTGTCCGTGTTCAAATGAGTGGATCCTCCTCCGTGAAACTCCAAAGCCGCGTCCACATCATCGGGGATATCAATCATACCAAAGACTTCCCGACCAATGGTTTTGATATCGACCAGCTCCTTGTTCAGCTTGAGTTCCTGCTGCTGATCAAGCTTGGCAAGGTCGGAGATGTCATCCAATAGGACGACACTGTTCTGGATTTGTTCTGTTGCATCTGTGAGGAGAACTTCCGATTCCTGGATTGCCTCCTGAAATTTCGTGGATACCTTTTCCTCACTGGCGAATCGCTTCATCGTCTGAACCTGATCCTGGATCAGATCCATGCTGTTTTGAAGAATGTGAAGGGGAGTGCGGACATGATGCAACGAACGACTCATGAAGTTATCCAACATCTTGAGAGACCGCTTTGTCTCTTCCAGCAGCAACTGCGCTTTGGCTTCGTGAATCTTGCGACCGGTGTCGTCCCGAATAAAGCATCGAGTGTGCGCAAACTTGCCATACTCGTCATACTTGACATTGGAGTCGATCAGAAGGTTAACAATCTTGCCCTCCTTGGTTCGAAAACGAACGGGAACATCCTTAATGGTGTTGCCACTGCCCAACTGCTTAAAAATTTCGAGCACCAATTCCTCCTCGTCAGGACAGAACTTCATGATGGGCTGTCCAATGTACTCTTCCTCGGTATATCCCAAGACTTCCAACTCTCTCTTGTTGGCCCACAGAACAATCCCTTCTCCCGAAAGCCAGTGCAAAGCGATTGGAGCATTGTTGAAGAAGTCGACAAGCTCGGCATCCTGGGCGCGTTGTTCGATGTCCTGTTGGTGGCAGCGATCTCCATACAAGACAATCTGGCCGGGCGTGGACTTGGAGACAAGCCAATCAAAATGTCTCTTGATTGGAAATCCCTGATCCTCTTCTGCCAGCGTCAAGACCTCAATGCTTTGAGCTCGGGCTCGCGCCGGCTTTGGGTTGACGGCAACTTCCTCAATGGCATTTTCTAGTACCGTTTGGTGCTCCTTGTTTGCGGTGAGCACTTGAGCGAAGGATTTCTCCTTTAGGGATTCCTGGATTTTGAAAAGAGGGGCAACCGAGGCGACAAAGGTTGAGTTGACTTGCTCGAGCTTGTACTCGGTTTTGCCATCCTTTCTGTCAAAGGAAAGCACGGCAACACAGAATGGACTCTCTTCCGTCAATCCCATGGCGTAGTTGGACTTGCGTGTTGCAATAGATAAACAAAGGCGAAGGCTCTCTCGGAACTCAGAATATGAGATGTTTGTTTTCTTGCCAAATAAATAATGTGTGGGCTTTCTTGTGGCTGGATTTTCTCATCATAAACGGAAAAACCTCCCTCCTTTGCTACCGGTAGCTAGCTAGCTAGCTAGCTAGCTAGCTAGCTAGCTAGCTACTAAACTCGAAGGCTAACTGTTCAACTCTTCAACAGTTGTTGATGAGTTCAATTCATCATGGAAGCCTTCGCAAAATAAGACAGAGTCTGACTCATAGTGATGCCAGAGCATAAGCCCCATAAGCCTCATTCGTACCGGTACTGTAGATCTTTGTCGCCTCGGTGGTGCTTATATATTATTAATAGCTTACCCGTACCGTATGGATACATACGGTCATATTAATACCAGGTACTAGTACCGGGACGAGTACATACCGGTACATGTACAGTGAACTTTAATTGCACTTGCCGCTCAGAGGAACCCAATGTGATACCTGGTACAATGTCATGTAGCGGTACAGTTATCATAAGTAGGAGCAAAAAGCTCCTTCCGTTTTATATAAAAAACTCGAAGACTTCTGTTTCAACAGTTCAACAGTTCAACAGTTCATCTGGAAGCTGGAAGAAGCTGCGGGTCGAGTAGATTAGGTAAATGTGCCTGGGTTGAAGGTTGAAGTCAACCTCTTCTAATAGCTACAGTGTACCGTAGTAGACCACTCTTATTTGTTTTGTATCAAAAACAATTATTACCTCAACTACTGGTAAGAGAAATGCAAACCACTGGTGATAATGCACAGTTTGTCTTCCGCCCATCCGTCCCAGCCACCCCCAGCCCCCTTTCATCAGTTTTTATTACGTGGACACAGTAAATATTTCACCCACTGGACAACTCGCTAAGACTTCTTCTACAGTGTTCAGTAGTGTAATTTGGACTGGAAGGGCATTTATTTCATAACTGCTACAGTGGCAAGCATTACTATACAGTTATCAGTACAGTCATTGTTTTACTGGTCAAAAGGCAACAACGGCAGCTCAACAGCTCTCTAAGTAACAGCTCAACAACTAACAACTAATAGAAGTAAGCCGACGCTTATTTGAACCCGAAAGTGTACCTTAAACAAAGTCTTACTAGACTCTCAGTACCGTATGCCCGTATACAAGACAGTCCAGCAAACTGTTCCGAGTCAGGAGAATTGGATTTTGGATGTCCCGTTCGTCAAACTTCAAAGAAGCCTGTCTTTTGATAGCTCTTCTGATCTCTTGAATTATTTCTTGATGATGCGAGTTGTTGTTAGCCCGATGGCCCCACAAGCCGCATAAGCCTCATTCCTTTTAGGATTCTTTGTGGGTGAAGCAGTGGGGTGTTGGCGAGTGGAGGTTACAGACAACACGTACTGAAATTTCATACAAGACCAAAAGACAAGATATCCTCTAAGTAAACTGACCTTCAGTACGAACCTCCACAGTGATTCAAATATTGACACCTAACTCTCGAAAGTCCAAGTGTGACTGTTGGAGTCTTGTGGAATACCCAAAGACTTAATCGAGAGGTGCGTGGTACCTCTGTGTTCGAACGACCTCACATTTTGGTCTCCGAGTTTGCGAACGGCATCAAGTCATTGGAATACCACTACAGCAGAGCTACTACATCACCATGTTGTTCAGTGCTAGTCATGCATTTAAAGAATGGCTAGATGTTAATGATCGCTACCCATACAATGAGATGAGGAAAACCAGGCAGAGCTATGTGTGCAAGCATGTTTTGCTGGAGGATCAGACTGACAGGGAAGACAGTAGAACCCAGTACTATCTTGTAAAGACCAGGTACCTTTCAAGTGGCATCCTTGAGCAACTCATCATGGAAGGGAATGCGCTGCCAATGACCCCTGACCAGAGTTGGTTGCTGGATGAGATGTTTGTGTGGGGTGTCAGGCACAGCAATGAATGGTACAGTGAAGTTCTTGCTGAGCTGGCATGGGAAGTGTATGAACATGAACCTGTCACTAGGAAAGAGATGTGCAGAGAGGTAATCAAACCACTTATGAGAGGTGCTCTTCACCAGCAAGGTATTGGTGGAGACCATATTGAAGTGAAGGCATTGTTACTTACAGAGTGGAAGGAGTGGTTTGACACAGAGTGTTGGAGCCAGCACAAGAACAACCTAAGTGGTATGGCAATCAGTAGTGAGCAGTACATTTCCCACAGAGCTGCATACACTCTTCATCATGGTGGCTACTCTTACCCAATGCACCTTGACTGATCTATGTCTGAAAAGAAAAGAGGAGCAACAGCTGTAAGACTTGTTGTTGTTTGTTATCCAGTTGGTATCACAGTAACAATAGTAAAGTGTCAAAGTCATTACTTACACTGGCTTGGTACCATTCTGCCACAGTAGAGACCTGCCTGTTGTGTATCTCTTTGCTGCAAGTAGGACCAAAGCCATCACTGGGTCCATGGAACTGCTTCCTCTCCATGCATCTGCCACAGTAGTCTCTCTTGCAATCTTTGGCCACTCCCTCAACAGCTATCACATGGTCGCTCTTCTTGAAACCACAAGTGTTGCAGTACTTCCTGCTCCTGAAAATGAGTCTTCTTGGTCTGGCTGGTGCTGTTGCTGGAACCACAGTGAGAGCGACTTGATAAGCAGCAGTGGCAAGAGCAGGGGTAAGATTTCCTGTGGCAGCAGCAACAGCTAAAGCACCAACAGCTACCTCAGCATTTAGTGTTGTTGGATTGCCAAAAGGTGTAGTGCCTTCATTGTTGTAGTTGGTAGGATTGGTGTTGTGGATTCTTGGCTCTGCCTCATCTGATAGTCCTTGTCGATTTCGCCTCAGTTGGCCATCTAACTGTGCACGATCTTGGTCATCTCGAGGAAGAACACCCTGCAAGCTTGCTTGCTCTTGAACCTTATCATAGTGCTGTTGTAGGAGAAGACGACTTTTGTATCGAATTTGCACAACTGCCGACTGGTCACCTTGAGTGCTCCACAACTTGAATCGCCGTGACACTTCTGCATTCCAGTCTCTTTCGAAAGCCTTGTAACTGGTTGGGCCTGTTGTGGCATGTCGATTGTATCGAGGAGACCACTCCACAAAAAGGTCCGCTTCTTCTCTGTCAATATCAGTAGCGGCAGTGCTGCTATCAGGTGACCGGAATGGTATCCACTCGCAATGGTTGGTGAGACGCCTGAACGCTTCAAGGGTATTTTCAGCTGCACTATCCACTGGTAGCAGCTTGTCGAGTTCCTGTTGAATGAGTGCCTTGTTCAATCGATCATTGGCAAGAGCAGCATCGCTTGTTTGGTCGGCAGCAGTCCTCTGGCGAGTTTGTTTGTTCTGCGAGTCTCTAATTGAATTCAAATATTCTTCTTCTGTAGCGAACACCTCTATATCGAGGTCCTCGCCCAATTCACCACCAAGAACCCGCTGGATCTCTTCTTCTGATTGTGGGATCACTTCCTCGTCATTTGTAATCGCTTCTTCTTCCGCATCATCACCTGACCCGTAGCCATCAGTAGCCCCATTAGCTGGATTGGACACATCGATTGTCTCGATTCCTTGATAAGAAAAACCAAGGAATTCGGTGACACTGTTTTTCTTTGGAGCGGACAATGCGTAAGGTGGCTCATTGAAGCCTACCTTTACAGCATAGGCGTTGATAAGGAGTAGCTTCTCTGTATTCAGAATTCCAAAGTCAGTTGCTCCAAGCCGGAGAACAGATTTCCTGTCATTGCGTTCCTCAAAGAAACATGACATAATTCGCTCAGCCCTGTGTACTCCTGATTACAAAAAAGAATAGGTCGGTGGTTAATACATAGCAGTCAATGGTGAAGCAGAATGCTGTTCAATCACACTTACCAATATAGGTCGCCAACAGTAAAAGAGCGAGATCCAAGTTGTCTCGCTCATTGGTGTTTGTTCCTCTGGCGACATAAGTGGTATCAGTCTTTGGATTCCTTCTAAAGATGTCGACTAGGTCTGTGGGTGGGTCGCTTAAACAACCGGTGTCCACATGAACCAGCTGTCGCCTAACAACATCAGCCATTTTCCATTGCTTCAAGAATAGCTTTGGGCGAGGGCCATCTGCTGGACCGGTAGCCAGCACTTGGTAGGTCTGGGTATCCTTGGATTGAATGTAGCTGAGGACCGCTTCCACATTGCTCCTAAGTGTTGCTGGATCTGGAATTATCGAGTTCCCCTCCTTCAACACTTCCTTCACAGTTGGTTCTCTCTTCAGCTTGTCAGTTAACTTGTCCTTTGCCCGTTCAAACTCACCCTGAGTAACAACAAACATGGCACGAGACATCAGACCCCTAAAGATACCTGCCTGGACAGACGACGGATCAACCAACATCTCATTCCATCGCTTCAGCCAGTGGAAAGGATCAAGAAGGATCAAAACTTGACCAAAGATCTCACGAAGGATATTCTTGACACCACAACAGTTATCCACATAGACAACCTTGATGGACTGTTCCATGGGGCAATTCTCAGGTCGCTGCTTGGAGGCGTGCCAGTTCCTATTGAGTCGGTTTCGAAGACGGACCAAGTCATCCTGGATCTCGCTGAAGGATTCTGAAAACTTGAGAGCCTTCCAGAACACAGTTAGACCATCTTCATTCTGAACAGTCACAATGCATTGGAAGGGTTGGAAGCTGCATCCTTGCTTGGTCCACACTCTGATCTTCTGCGCCAACTTGTAATTGAAGTCAATCTTCAGGAGGGTGGCTGTTAAACCTCTCATCTTTGCATCCTGGAAATCCTTGCGGTGCTTGAAGTAACTCATCACCATGCTGTCAATTCGATATTTTGAGAGGACTCTCCCATTATATCCCATTTTGTCTTCGAATTTGGAGAATGCTGCCGGTCCAGTTGGAGTTTCAGGATCGGCTGTGACAGCTTCCTGTTCCTCTGGTTCACCATGTTCCCGCTCATAATCAAGCAAGACATCCACTGCTGAATTGTAAACAGCCACGGCATCTTCAACTTCAGTCTTCCGCGTTTTCACTGTGTCCTTCAAAATGTCATAATGATTTGCCACAATCCGCTTCCAAGATTTCAGAGGCTTTATTGCTGGATAGTCCCGGTGATCTGCTGCAAGCAACTCGAAGCAGCTGTCAATACCTGCATCCAACAACCTGCGGATTTTGGTGGAACCAAGGCCTCTCAGAAAATTGCGACCTCCATGGTGGTTGTGATTGTCCTTGGATGATAACATGGATTTAAAAGACCAGTCACTTGAAGCTCGATTACTGGCAGATTCGACGCGTGTCCTGCTAGAGCGTACTTCGGCCATGGCTCTGTTCTTGTTGTTGAGGAGCTGTTGATGCTCCTGGCTGGTTTGTGACCGGGCAGCCGGAACGAAATCTTGAATTGTCTTCTGCTTTTTCTTTGGCCGGATCTTGTCAAGTCCGATTGCTGTAAGATAGAGCTGGTGATCCTCATAATACGCAGTTATTGCCATTCGTCGTAGCTTTTTGGCAATTGTTGCTGTTGCCTCTTTGTAGGAGCTCTCGATGACCAAACTATGGAGTTCATCGTCCACCGCAAATCCATGTCCAAGGAAGAAGGTGAAATAGCCGTAATACAGGGAACAGTCCAGCTGCATGGATTCTTTGTTGTATCCAGCGAAACGTCTACCACATCGTGTACAAAGATAGAGCACTGTGTCAAGATAGCGGATTCTTGATACCCCGAACAACACCTTGGGGCAATTCACCCATCGTGTCTTCTTGACATCCACTGCGTTCCTTTTCTTGCAGTGAGGACAGCGGGGAACATGGTTTGGTACTAGAATGTGCGGTACCCATGCTGCGATTGGCTTGATGTAAAATGGCTCCACAGTGCTTTTTCCACCACGCTGGTCCAAAATCATGCTGTCAAATCGACCACCTTTGGTTGGAGAAAGACACTTCCAATCCCTTCCATGCTGTGGCTTAAAGAAGGTAAGGTCACTGTCAATGGCCTTGCGGGTTCGATGGACGAAGCGCCATTGTGCCTCTGACAGTTGCTTTGGTTTTCGAGTCGTCATGGTGGTGTCCTCCACGGTGGATAATGAAAGAACTCGAATTTTGTCATTGGATCGTTCAGACGTTGGGTAGGGTTAGGGGACGGAAATTTCACTATCTAAGTACGAAATTTGGGAACAGGGGTATTGGTATCCAATACAAAGTAGAGTTAAACCTAAGAAAGAGACACGATGTGACGCAAGTCTAGTTAAAGATCGGATATGGTGAAACTACACGTGGAGGCATGTGAGGTGGCCAGGATAAAAGTCGATATCAGAAGGACGCTCACCCTCCCCCCCTCCTTCTTTTTTCCTCCTGCCGATAACCAAGTCATATCAAGACCAGCAGTGGGCAGTGGGTCGGTGGTTGGTGGGTTGTGGAGCTGTTGAGTGGTGGGTGACAGGCAGAAGCCAATTTTAGTTGCGTCGAGCGCCCTCTCTACTCTCTACTGTGTACCGTACCCAACCACTGGATTCTGCTCTTCAATGGTTATTCTGTGCTTATCTGAAAGGACAGTCCTGAATTTATTGGTTTATTACAGTCAACACTCACTTAAGTTCCGTTTTTTTAAGTTCCGTTATTCTACAAAGTTCCACTTTTTCAGGGCTGCCCCCCCTCAGTCACTAGTTCTCATGACTGAACATGACTGACTGGTGAATGGGTTTTGTGGCTGTTTGAGGCTGGGCTGGCAGTTAGAAACAGTCACATTTTGCCTATTTTGGGCCCAAATCGTAGATTGAATCCACTAGATAGAGTCTTGGTGCTGACCCCACCATCCAGGAATCTCAGTTATACATATGAAAATTTGGTTCAAGTTTCTCTTTCATGCCAGACACCCTCAGGTACGCCACAAAGCCCAAAGAGCACGTTTTACTAGCATTTGCTAGTAGTAACACAACTAGTCGACAATAGAGACACTATATGTAGAAGCGGCGTGGTTCCACCCTATGAAAGATTGGTTCCTTTTACCCCCAATAACAATAGAATATGACAGGAACCACCCCAAGTGGGTCCTAAGACCACGAACGGGCCGATATGGGGCTCCAAAGATCTAAAGTTCCGTAATTCAGCTAAGTTCCGTTTTTTTCTTAATGCTGGGGGGTGGAACTTTAGTGAGTGTTGACTGTAGTCATTATTATTAGTCTAACTTGACCACTGGACTTTGACTGGTTTGGGACTCATACTCATGAATCGAGATGTTATTGCAGGATCCAGTGGGCGACAGAGTAGAACACCAACTACAGGGAGTTTTTGCTTTTGGACACACACACAAGTGGTAATGATAACCGACACCGCGAGAACCATGCATCTGCGATGGTTCCCCCCCTACAGTGGGCAATTCCAGTCACCGAGTCGAGACTGGAGATTAAGTTCTACGGTACTAGTAGCTACTCCCCGCTTCTTCCTCTCTGGCTGGATCCGGTGTGCGAAGATCTAGCTAGCTAGAGTAGTGCAGGCTACAACTGTGTTCGATGTTGGGTTCCCTGCCTCTGGGGTAACTTACTGCGCGAACGGAGCCACTAGCTATCGGAGCACTCATTCATACCGTACTTCATTGTTGTGGTGTTAGCCTGGGATCTCCAAATCAAAAGAATGCTGCTTCAAAAGCACTCAAACAGCGCAATGCTGGCTTTGTAGTCCTTGGGAGGTTGGAGTCCTGGCTGTCGTTGCATCCTCATGATACCATTTTTGTCCATTGTTGCTGAGCCGACTTCGCCCTCGGGATTTTTCAAGTAGCCACCGGTGCGGCCAGCTCTGTCCTCCTCTCAAGAACCTGAGAACTTCAGGGGCTAGTACTACGGTATTGCAATGCTTCCATGCATGGCTTCAAAGTTCATTGGCGAAAATTGATACGTATGAGCTGCATGCGTCGTCTTGAAAATCCATTGCCTATGGTAAGCAGCAGCCGAGCGAGAAGGCTTGTGAGCACTGGGGAGACTTGAAAGATCATTGCTTCTATGATCCCAGGGCCACTGGTTACTTGGGGCGTGCTGAAGCAGAAGCATTCTAAACCCCTTTTCAATCACTCGATGTTGCGGGTTCTGCGCTGGCTGACAAACCCTGTGCTGTTGCAAACCTATAGATTTAATAAAATCTTTGATTGTTGCATAGGCCGACTGTACACAGCCCGCGTTGTATCAAGGGAGTTCTTCAGGCCAGCACCAGGATGTTTTAATCTTCTGTTACTTGTCTAGTCTCTTCCAGTTGCTGCAGATCGATCAGGACTCGAAAATCTATCTATTTATTGACCGCAAACCCTCGCTACTCGCACCATCGAATGCAGCAGAACCAGCTTAGTAGCGCCATTCGAAATTTTTCTGACCATATTATTATTTGATGCACAACCTCTTGTCTTGTTGATTTACGCCTTGGGTTTGCGACGCAAGACCCATAGTTCCAACAATGCCCAGGTTTCTCCCGGATAATTTTCCTGTTCCAAGGGTGACATGCGTCGATGCCTGGCAGCCATGCTCCCGACAAAGTCCAAGTGTTTGACCAATACGCGCTTGGTTTCGTCGGCCTTTTCCAGCGAGAATGGATTCAAAAAGTTGACCAACATGTATCCTTCCGTGGGTTTGCTGGCAAACGCCTGGACGATTCGTTCAATGGTTTCCAAATCCAAATACACCAACGCGGCGGTACTGAGAAAGATATCGGCATTGGCCATGGCCGCTTGGACTTGCTTTTGTTCTTCTTCCAAGGAGGAATCGTTGAGATCGACGACAATGGCCTCATCAAAGAGACCCGTCTTTTTACAATACGCCATGGCATTGGCAGAGATATCAATGGCCGTGGTGTGGCAATCGAATCGACGCTTTTCTTGAATGGTCATGCAACTATCTTCGTCTTTCCAATTGTCACAAATTTGCTTGTAGGTCATTCCACAGACGGTGGCCATGGTGGTGTTTCCAAAACAAGCACACAAATCGACGTAATTCAACTTTCCTTGCTGCTGTTGAACCCACGGCAAAATCAAGCGATCAAAGACTTGACGATTGTTATCGTCGGAAATGTACTCGAGCTTGTCCAAAATCTCCGTCTTGTAGGGAACTGGAGTGGTAGCCACATAAATGTCATCGAAATGCTGTTTCTTCTCGTCCGTCTTGACTGGCATGGTTGGGTTGGGTTGGGTTGGGTTGGAATAGATAGTTGGTCAAATGGATCGATCGATGAAGGATCTTGTCTCTTCTCTAGACTAATATAACAAGAAAGATTTGGTTAAAATGAGACCAACACATGACACTTCTCTGAGGTCCCAAAGCCACACACCCTCGGGTTCTGAAGGGGTGACGAGTTGCGGATTGATGGCTCCAAGAGGCACAAACGAAATTGAAGGCCGATCTTCCGGATCTTTTGACGTTCCGAATGACTGAATTTGAGTCACGAATTAAATCTGCGTTGTCAAGCGGCTCTGCTGGCCGATGACGTGATCCACCCAAGAAAGGACACCACGAAAGTGGTGCGTTGTTCCCGTCCCACCACCGGCAAACGCATTGCTTTGTCGACCAGAGAGAAAGAATTTTACGTTCAGTGCAACCAAAAGCTGCTTCTCCATTACAGGTCATTTTGTTATTGTCTGCATCCGTACCAATTTTAAAATTAATCCATTGATCCAACCAAAATGAAGTTCTTTGCTTTCTTTCTCGTCGCTTTGATTCAAGCTGTCCATGGGTTTGCTCCCCTCGTGCATCCCACACGAACAGCGGTGGCAACTCCATTGTTTGCCAGTGTGGAGGGTGACGAAGATAACGCCACAAGTGAGTGTTTCTTTGTGTGTGTTATGGAGATAATCACCTTTCGGGACACAACTTTGTTTATTTTCATGCTGACTGACTTGTGTTTTGTTCAATGATCTTTCAGGTCCAATGCGAAAGAGAGACAAAGTGAAGAAGGTAATCAAGAACGTATTTGGCGCGAACAAGGAGACAAGCCAAGCCGAACCCACAAAGGTGATCCAGGAAACCATGCCCAAGCGAAAAATGATGAAGCTGAGTAATGGGAAATATGAAAAGATTGAATGCCTAGAGGAGAAAGCATTTACCATTTTGAAGGACCTCAACATGATTGAGGAAACAAACTAAAAGCCTCTACCAAGCAAAAGAAATAAAGCAACAATACACTCGAGCATACGCAAAGAATGGCATTGGGCTCGCGACTCGCGACAAACGGCTAGCTAGAAAAAGAGAAGATGGAGAGGAATCTCCAATTTGCCCAAGCCACGGACCGGTTTCATAGCTGCGCATGCCAAGAACACGCATAAGATATCATAATGCAATCAACTTTCCAGTCAGGCCTGAATATGCTTTTGAAATGACGCTCTTCAGCTCTTCGCAGGTTTGCCTGTTTAGCCCAGCCGGGGGTGTATATGTTTTCCTTGGAAATTCCCTTCGAATTTGCCTGGTTCTTCAGGTCTTTAGCTTGCCGTGTGAGTGCTGAATCACTCATCGAATATGTTAGATACTGCTTGCGTGAGATTCACGCTTCAGAAGCAAGGACTTGAATGGCATCCCCTTTGTCATTCTTTCTCTAGCTACTAGTAGTGGCTAGCCGTTCTTTTCAAATTTCGCTCGGAGCAATTTCTCACTCGGGGCTCCTCGATGGCTGTCCAGCTTGCTAGCTAGCTAGAGTACGCCTTCATACCACCTTCATGCATTTTTTACTGCCGAAGGCGGCTGTGGTAGTTTCCGCACACGATGGTACCAGCGTAGCCGGCCAGAGGGGTTGCTGCAACAGGTGGTAATGGGACCGTTCAGAAATAAGTTTAGGTTCAGGGGTTCAGAGGTTTAGGCCATTAGGGCATATGTAAAATAACTGTCAGTGGAAAACCGAAACAAAAAGTGAGCTTCCGAACCTCAAACTTCAACCTCCGAACTAGACCCCTGAAGGTATCGCCTTTGGTTGAGAGGTTGGAGCATTTTATTTATGATCATTTCTCCCTCCTAAGTAAATCGCATCTAAATACCAAAAAAATGATCACAAATAAACTGCCACATCTTCTACTCAATTTTTCTATAGTGGGATCTTGGGGTATCTTGCTTTTTCGGATATCTTTTTCCTCTTGATCGGATCCTTCTGAATCTGTGATCAGCGCACCACTGTGTCCTCACCAACAAGTGTTTGTTGTCAGGAAATCTTTCATCCCAACAGATGTTTGATAGCATCACATCAGCACCAACTGTCTCCAAACCAATCAAAAAGGGTGCACCTTGGCTGTTCATCTGTTTAGCTGCGTTGGTGTCAAAATTTCGCTTCTTGTTGATGGCGTTCAGCTGCGTTTCGAAGGATACGTCGAAGATCTTTTGGGTGTCAAGAAGATCGTTATTTCTGGCAGATATCTGAGAGCATTTCTGTGAGTATTTCTGGGCTCACTTTCTTGCAGGTCGTCCATTATGCAAGCTGAGAAGCCAAAGGAAAACGAAAAGGCGAAGAAGGGCAGGAAGAAGTCCAGCCAGAACTTCTCTGGTTCTTTGGTGCGCCCATCTGCTGCTGGTACTGTTGTTGACCGTCGTCCATTGGTTGATACAAGGCCCTTTCATAAGCAGAGTGCCTTTGCCCCTGTTCCTCGAGAACACATCAACGTTGCCGAAGTCCCGATTACGATGTATGATTCTGATGAGAAGGAGCTGTGGGATGCGATGAACCAGTGCTGGAAGGAACGCGATGCTAAGAGAGCTGCCGAAGAACAGAAGAAACAAAACAGCAAGAAGGCAAAAGATGCACATCCCACTATCGAGTATTGTACCCAAGATTCTGCTGGAGATGATCCACCACCGCCACCTGGTGGAGCTGGAGCTGTCGCTTTTCAAAATCCGGACAAGTACAAGACACCACCTTCCCAGCCACCTACCCCAGCTGAACTGTCTGCTCCCAGGCCTGCACGTCGTCTTGCTACTACTTTGTTCTATGACAACACGTTGAACTATGACGAGTATCACAACTCTGCCAGCACTGTTCCCCGTCCCGGAAGCTGTCCTCCAGCCTTGCCATCTCCTACCAAAGAGGCCACTGCTGGTTTTTTGGCTCCGAAGACCGGTACCAAGGTCGCTGGAAAGAGAACCAGCACCGGTCTTGTTTCGAATTCAGTTGCAAAGAAGAAGAAAGCTCCTACCAAGCGACAGGCCAACAACAATGGTGGCGGCATGAGGTTCACAGCTGAAGAGGACACTGCTCTGTTGGATGCTTGGGAGTTGATTCTTCCAATTGGCAAGGAAGAACACGCGAAGGCTGCTGCCGAATACAACAACCACTTCCCCTCTCATCGTCATCGAGAAACCCAGAACTTACGGGCCAAATTCAACAAATGGATGTCCTCTAAGGCACCTACTGGCGATCCTGACTTGCCACCCACCATTCGTCGTGCGAAGCAAATTGCTTGGAAGATCAAAGAGAAAGCTCAGATGGTTGCTTTGCAGGATGGCATTACGGACCCATTCGAGAAGACAGTTGCCTCCTCTGCTCCATCTTCTGGTGAGAAAACTGACAACAGCAAAGCTGTCAGTGTCACCAAGGCTACCAGGAAGGCTGCCAGGAAGAACGAATTCGTGAAAGCAATCAAGGCATCGGACAAGGCCCAGGCAAAGCGTGACAAGCGTCGCGAGATGATGAACATGCAAGGAATGATGGTCATGGCTACTACAGTTGCTGCTATAGCTTCTGCTCTTTCTGGGAAGAAGGTGGAGATTCCCAATATGACGCAACCAGCTAGCATGCCCATGGGTGCCGGAATCAGCAGTGATGATACCAGTACCAGCAGTGACGATTCTTCCATCGGTGGCGGCAGCCGTTTCAAGAAACGCCTTGCAGCCTACAAGAAGAAGAGAGCTCTCAAGAAGAAAAAGAAGAAGAAAAAGAAGGAGACCTTACTTGACAGCGACCAGGAAGATGGAAAGATGCCTGCCAAGAAGGACGACGATGATAGCAGCAGTGGTGGCGAAGTGGAATTGGTAGATCCGTATGGCCCGACTGGCAAGCTCTGAGCTTGCACAAGAACATCTATTTGTGAAAAAGAAGAAAAGAAAGAAGAAGAACAACAACAACAAGCCAAGAACAACAACACGATAAGAGAACAAGAACAACAACAACAACAAGCCAAACAACACCATACGGTAGAATCTAAAATAAACAAGTGTGACTAAAGTGATTACTATTCTTGTTCCTGAATGTAGAAAGCTGCATCGACGCTCCAAGAAGGAACGTATGTGTTCTGCAATTGGTTCAATCCAACAAGAGAAATACGGGCATTGTACAACAAAGTCAACAATTGCAGCACGACCATACGTTCGCCATTCTCTTCATAGTGAATGCGATCCTTAAGCCTTGGAAATGCTGATTGCATTGCACGCATTCCCCATTCTGCCGATTGTCGAAGAGAAGTGGCCTGTTCATGGATCAGCAGATCCATAGCATCGGTTGCTGTTGTGATGTTCTGAGAGGATTTAATCAAGAAAGGATTCGACATCGTTGTGAATGCACTATCCACACAGCACTTTCCACCAGTGCGTTCGAAGACTTCGTGTAATTTGTCATATACCCCTCCGTACTCGGCCAAAGTGGAGTCATGCATAGAGCCAGGGGCATTGATGACATACAGGATAATGAATCCATCGATGCTGAAAACAAACAGATTTGTAATGTAATGGTCGTGCGTCCAGCCATTGTAATACATGGATTGCTCGTCCAAATCTTCGCATTGTTGAAAGGTCAGCTTCAATCCATCTGCAACACAGAAGACGTTCTTCAACAGGGGATGCTTGGCTTCTATTGCATTTGAAAGCTGCTGGATCTTGGCATCTTCTGGAATTTGCACTTTGCAGAACGGCTGATTGCCAAGCACACATAAGAGACCGCGTCTTCCAAATCGAAGCCAAACGTTGGCATGTGTGCCTGTAAAACCAAACCAGCCCTGGAGAATGTACTCTCCCCCACGAAACCTGTACCAAGTCAGCACCAAGCCAAGACACTTTGGAGCATCGATAATGCGGCGTCTACCAGCACGACCACGTCTTTTCAATCGACGACAAGTCGTTCCATCCTGACTGCCAGTCCATGGACTGTGACTGTTGAACCATGGTTCGAAATATTTCAGCAGCTCATGGAACGCACGATGATCAAATCCAGTAGTGGTTATCAGAGCTTGATTGTTGCCAGAGCTATAAAGTCTCTGCCAGGGCGAATCAGCAGGGAAAAGAAGGGCTGGTCTTGGAAGGGAGCGCTGCCGCCTTTGGCGACCCTCTTCTGTCAAATTGGAGACAAAGCTGCTCTGATGAAGCTCTAGTGCACCTGAAAGGAGGAGAAATCTCCTCCTCCGTTCCCAGAAGTCGTTGCCCTCCATTCCAAACAACAATCGGAGCTTTGTACAAAGGAGGGAAGACCGAATTGTGTTGCATCTTCAAGATACAGACCTTTTACCCGACTCTGGAGGTTTGTGTAGTGGTCAACTGAAGAAGATCGCATGTCATCCTCTAAGTAACCATCCTCCAACCACAACACCTCGAAACCAAATGGTATTTCTGGACCAGCTGAAAAGTGTCAATTTTGGTTCGGAAGTTTAGATTTATTTCGCTTATGGCAGGGTTGAAGGCCTAAACTTCTGAACCCCTGAACCTAAAATTATTTCTGAACGGTCCCAATCTCGTGGAAACGTTTGTGTAGTTGTTGCCAGACTTCAACTTCGAGCCAAAAAAACGTTGGAGGCAATTGCCCGATGACGTGTTCAAAGAAGAAAAAGCCACTTCTTTTCTCATTCGTCATTTCCAGGAGAAGAGACGACAACGGTCGCCCTTCTTCGTCGAGGAAGCCCTCGAGAGCACCCACAGCATCTATCTTCAACAATATCCAAGCAATCATTTGTTGAGTTTTCGAGTATCCACCATGGTGTCTTTGCGTACTTTGCTCTTTTCCCTCTCTGTGCAAGCCGCTGTTGGTTTCCTCTCGTCTCAGGGAAAATCCCATGACATTCCCAAGCTGACCACGGTGGGGGCGTCGGTTGTCTGGGACGAAGTGGCTCCTGGTATGTTTTTGAAGTCCTTTTCGCCTTATCAATTGGCTTCCCGCTGCTCATGAGTGTCGTTACTTACCCGCAATGCTCTTTCGTTGGAATTTTCTATTCTTCAGGTGAAACGACGATTGGTCGATTGGCAGGTGTTCGAAAGAGGCTCACCAACGTGTTCCGCAAAAAGGCACAGCCACCGGTGTCCGTGGAACTGGACCAAGCACCCGTCACAGTTGTTGTTCCGGAAGATCCTATTGTCGCAACGACGAAAACTGTGGACTTGCCTTCCAAGCCGGTCGAGTTTCGAACCACTCCGCTCCGTATCCCCTCCCAACCTCGGCCCCGCAGACAGGAAATGAAGTTGGCGGCCAAGTATGCCGAAATCGACTCTTTGGAGGAACGAGCCTTTCAAATTCTGGTGGATCTCGGTATGGTGGAAATTCACAACTAACCGAAAAGATGGACTCAAGAGAATGGAGAAGGAATCGAATCAGTTGTATTTCTGGAGAGCAGATTGGCGAAAGAATGGGTTGCGTGTGTGGGTGTTCCGTCATATTCTCTCGAAAAAAGGACAATCTACATCGCTTCTAAGTTGAGTATTCTACACAATGCATTTCGTAAAATATTGAAAGAGCCAGGTGGACAGAAAGGTGCCGGGATGACAAGTTGCATTTGGGCTCCATCAGCACGACAACATTGTGGCACTTTCAAAATGCTGCATGTACTTTAGCAAAGCAAACAACCAATGTAGTATTTTTGCGTCGACGTATATGCGTTTTTCCTGTCAGATGCAGCCAATCGCAGCCCTCCTATCTCCACAACTAGCTACGGTATTGTTTGCTGCACTGCAATGAAGCCGGTAGCATGATTCCGGGTTGAAACTACCTTCTGCCCTATCCGTATTCTTCCTCCCTGTGCGAAGGTTTACCCAAAGCACCCCCATCGGCACCCCCAAGAGAACCTTTTCCGCTTCAGGAATTCCTCAACCAAATGTCCTTTTGAAAACGCTCAGAGTATTCTAGCTAGTCGAGTGTCATGGCTGATTCGCAAACTCCCGTATTCCCTAGAATAAGTCCAGTTTTGATGCCGCAGTCGACGTAGGCCTTATCATTTATGTTTCCTAGCTTTACCACATGTGAAAGGTGGGCTCAAAGTCCAACCTAAATCTCGATAGTGCTACTTCAGAAACATTAATTGAACTGTTTACTGCAGTTATGTTGGCACCATTAGCTTAGTTGACCTTTGACTTATTATCAGCTGTGCCTGTCATGGCATCCCAAAGATTTTTGAGAACAAGCCCAATGGCAATGACATAGGGTAATTCTGCTCCCCAATAAGGTAACAAATTTTCTGGTGGGACATGGCTTGTAAATTCAACAAAGTGATAGAACCCAATGGCGTAGATTTTGGCCCCTACAAAGATCAGAAGAAAATACTGAAGGGGTTTGACATGCCAAGCATCCAATAGTGTGGTTGCCAGCACAATGGCATAGTAAAATGGGAAAACGTAAGCATGCAAACAGGTCGCTTGCAGAAGCCATTCAGGTCGCTCCAGGAAGAGACGGTTGTTTGCGACACTGAATTCGTAGGTGGTGACCATGAGGAATCCTGGGTCATCTGCTGTCAAGGGCCGAGCACAGTAGGACATCTCCACCGTGCAATTCATGGTGATGAAATACACAAGGCAGATGCAAAGGATAATCTTGGAAATCATCTTGCTGGCTTTTCTGGCTTTAGAGGTGTTTGGGCAGCTGGAATAGTCAGTTTGAGTGTTTGAGTGGCCTCACAGATCGAATTTGAGCGAGGTCTTCCGGGTGGGTGAATTGAAGATGAAGCCAGCAAGAAAGCACCTGTTACCAGTCGCAAGGCAACAAAGTCATCAAAACAATGACAGCAACCAGTCCTTGGCAATGGGTGCTGTATGGTATTCCCACAAACCCACCAAGACCAGCAAAAGGACAATGCGACGATGCATGCAGGACCTCTGTGGAAACTCGAATCGTGCAACCGATCGTCTCCTAAATCCTTTTGATCGTCTCCTATTTAACGGATTTCGTCTCCAAAAAAAAGGAGACGAAACGGATCGTCTTTTAAATCTTTCGTCTCCTCTTAAATCGTCTCCTATTTTCAACGGATCGTCTCCTATTCTCAATGGATCGTCTCCTAAGTGCACCATGTAAACTGTATGGTATCGTCTTTTTAAATCTTTCGGATCGTCTCCTATTTCGAAACGATCGTCTCCTAAATGGAATGTCTCCTAATGAATCGTCTCCTAAATATAGGAGACGATTGCTTTCGTTTTTTAAATCATTTCGATCGTCTTCTAAGCCTTGGTGTATCGTCTCCTAAGTAATTTGCCGCGAATGACGTTTCCACAGAGGTCCAGTACTGGCTGCATGCAGTGTTGGTCTCTGTAGTAAAAATAAATAATAAATTTAAGATTTCTGCTGCCAATTCTTCACTAGCTAGCCACGTCCCCTAATAGAAAGGCATATGTCACATGTCACAGTTAGAGCTCGGGCTGGCTAGCTAGCGAGTAGTTTTGCAACTAACTTCGGATAGGTGCTACTACGGTACCTGCAGCAACATTGCTACTCCTGTAGGTTCCAGTGGTAATATTCTTGCATCATAGGCTCAGTTGGACTTTGGCTTATTATCAGCTGTGCCTGTCATGGCATCCCAAACATTTTTGAGAACAAGCCCAATGGCAACAATGTAGGGGCCCTCGGCTGCCCAATAAGGTAGCAAATTTTCTGGTGGGACATGGCTTGTAAATTGGAAGAAATGATAGAACCCAAAGGCATAGATCTTGAACCCCACAAAGATTAGAAGAAAATATTGGAGAGGTTTGACATGCCAAGCATCCATTATTGCCGTTGCCAGAACAGCAACATAGTAAAATGGGAAAATGTAAGCAGACAAACAGATGGCTTGTCGAAGCCATTCAGGCCGCTCCAGGAATAGGCGGTTGTTTGCGGCACTGAATTCATAGGTGACGGCCATGAGGAATCGTGGGTCATCTGCTGTCAAGGGCCGAGCACAGTATCCCCTCTCTACTGTGAAAGCTATGACAATGAAATACACAAGGCAGATGCAAAGGATAATCTTGGAAATCATCTTGTTGACTTTTCCAGTTCTAAAGCCACTGTAGACAGAAGAATCACTTTTGAATGGCCTCAATTATGAAAGAGACCTCCACGCTTCGATGGCGGGTGGACTGATGATGAAGTCGGCAACAAAGGTCCCATTTCCCGTACCGGTACCGTATGGATACCCCTGGAAGCCAACAATGCTACCAGTGGAAATGGCTCCACAGAAACGCGACGATGGAAGGAAGAAAAGAGGAAGACGGAGCTTGAAACAAAGACTATGTTTCGTGATCACAAAGCGGCAGAGCGTTACAGTTCCGACGAGTGTAGCAAAAATAAAATAATAAATTTAAGATTTTGTTATCGCCAATCGCGTAATAAGTACCGTACGTCTTTCCAAGCTGGAGCCATCATGCTTACTCTACTTCCAACAGACACAGAAAAAGGACCAACTGCAATTATATGTAGCTAGCTGGAACTAGCCAGCCAGTAGCTGAGACAACCAACCAATCCCATGAGAAGCGAGAGATCCCACCAGTCCCTGTCAAGTTTGATGAGACTTCTAATCCTTTCGGTTCTGTTGGCTGCGTCTGCTGCGGCTTTTTCCTCCTCCAATCTTCCAAAACAAAGGAGGGTCCACCAATCCATCGCTTTTGACGGACTAAGGGATACGCCACAGCCTGTGGAAGAACCACTCGACCACGACAATGTAACAGGGCCGCCCATGACAAGACGACGACCCTGGAAACTGCTCTCTCGTCTGAGAAAGAGCATACCAATAGAACGCAAGCTGGCTTGTTTCGCCATTGCAGTACTGACGTATCTGCGAGGGCCTACCCTGTTGGGCAGTGATCCCAATGTCGCCCATGCCGGTGTTCAAGTCAAGTTGTCAGGAGTGAAGGTCGAGGCTACCGTCAAAGATCTTCCACCGCTCATTGTCATCAAGCCAAAACCCGCTCCCAAACCAATTCCTGCTGCCGCCAAACAGAAAACTGCCGAGAAACCTACAACGAGCGCGAAACCCAAACCCATAGCCGCAAAACCACCAAGTGCCACCAAACCAACAACCAAGAAACCAGCAGCACCAAAGAGGACTCCCCGTCCAGAAGGAACCTTGACAACCGAGAACATCCGGAAACAGTTTCTTGACAGCAGTCAATTCAAAATTGGGACAGCCGTTGTGGCAGCTGGTAGCGGGATTTTTGTAGGCTACACTGCCCACCGCCAAAGCAAGGGAGACGAACATGGCGACACTAATGGGGATCAAAGTGGCAGCAGTCAATCAAGAATCATAAGGGAAGAAGAACTACGACGACAAAGGGAAGAAGCATTCGTCAAGGAAGCAATGAGAAAGGTGAAAGAAGAACGGGCCAAGCTGGAAACAGAAGCCAACAACAAGAAATCCTCCAATCCACTGAAAGAGACCGTGGCAAGAATACAGGAAACCTTGGCTGCCAAACGGCTCGGGTATCTAGAGAAGCTACCGGTCAATTATCAAGAAGGTACAGAAAACAGAGCGGATTTTTTGTCTACCAGTGCGTTTTTCGCTCGTGACTAACGTGTTTATCCTTCTGACATGCAACGACAACAATTGGATTCAAATCCCACAGCTTCCTCACTCAACAGAAAAGACTCTGACTTCGGACGTCCAGAGAGTGATGCCGATACGTGAATTTATGGCAATGAAAAATAGATTCCATTTGCACACCATGATGAAAATCAATATACAATCATCGCGTGTGATCCAATCAGCCAGCTTGATTTCAAAGTCTTGATCAATGCATGAGCTCGAGTGACGAGTCAATACTAGGTTTTTGCTTGCCTGCAGATCTTGTGGAAGGGCTGACCGCGAGGAAATCAGGCTAGCAGATTGAACTTGCTGTATTGTTCGTAAAGGTCCAGAATGATGTAATCAGTGGTTCCCATCCCGCTACGGAGGGAACGTCATGTTAGAGTATGTATGTATACACGGATAGTACCATTGTCTTCGATTGCAGTAAGCCATGGGTCGGGTGGTCCACTAGCTTTGGTACCTGGTAACTTGCTCGTTAAAGACTCAATCCAAGAGTTTTCTTTATTCTTGAAGCCAACAGTTTCCTTTTTCGCATTTCTGCTGGCTGCTTCATGAAAACACGTACGCGTACGCACCTCGGCTTGCTTGCTTCCTTCCCACGGCACCTCTTGTTGCCGTTGCTTCCGCCGAAGAAGAACAGGAGGCTCCAGCAAGTTTTCTTCAAGATCTTTTGTTCAAATCCAAGGGGGGATTAGAGTAGGGAAATTATCTACGGAAGCCAGCCGGGGCCAGGCTTAACGCGAATCATAAGCCAGGTGCGCATACGCACCCGTATTATAAGACTGGTGTCAATAGACACCTGTCTAACCTTAACCCCATTTTAGACCCCTCAGAATCTACTTTCGCTGTTCAACTATGCGACCAATGGAATCTACGCGAAATTTGCGTTCTTTTCCATGTGCGGTTCGTCATAATTGGACTGAAACTCGAGAATCTACGAAGTGCCGAAAAGTTGGCTCATTTCGCTGCAGCACCACAACAATCAAAGAGCTGAAATGGAGGGCGACAATGACATTGAAGCCGTCGGCTATAGCCAACAAGGAGACCTTGGAGGCTCTCAGTATGTACAACAAGAGCTCGTGGATGTGTCCCAGATGGCTGGACCGCCAATGCCAGTGTTAACAGGGGTTGGTACTCAGCAGGACGAAATCGCACAAACTGCAACAGCCGTCAGTCAACTCGAAGACAGCCAAGAGCCACAAACACAAGACACGCAGATCACACAACAGAGGAAGAAGAAAACAAGGGCCAGGCGAAGCTATGCAAAGAAATACCTTGTTGCGTCCAGTGACCTCTACTTGAAAGATGACGCTCGAATCAGAGCACAGTTTGCGCACGATTTTCCAGATGGTTTGCTTTTGGATGGTCAAGTCGCAGTTTGCCCAACAGCACAGAATGGCAAGCTCTTTACCATAAGCTGGAAAACAGGTGAGACTGGTGTGTCTGTTGACTGGGTGGAGAGGGTGTTCGCCCAGAAGGAATACCAGGAGCGTATTTGGGAGGCCATTGTCGCATTCAAGCAAAGAAAGGAACAAGAGCAAGAAGCAGAGGAGCTCCTCGTGGCTCGAGCTGGGCAGGAGGAGGAAGAAAACATAGAGCTAGAGCAGGCCACACCACACGAAGCTCCCATCAGGCTTGCAGCTCTCCGAACGTCAGCCTCCACTGTCAGTTCACTATCCAGTCGCAGTCGTACGAGTAGCTCTATGGCAAGCTCATCCACCCGCAGAGTTCAAGTTCAAATTGAAGTTGGACGTCAGGCAAGAAATACAAAGAGCAATCCAGACCTTTCATCGGATAGTGAAGAGGAAGCCGGTGACGTAGACGAGGGAGACAATGCGTACTTCAACTTGTCGAGCAGCCGCACGCCAAAGAAGACAAACGATCCCGATCCCTATCCATCCACGCTGATCGGTGTGGAAACCTGAACCCTCATGGGTTCTTCGATGAATGACTCGACTCACAGTTGCCAGACTGGTACCATCTCACAAAATACGAATCTACTCCCACACTTCGCTCACACACAACAAGTACATCTCTACCCTACACTCCACAGGTCATCACCTGCGTTCCTGAAATGGATACCCCACATACATGTCGATTGCCACTGCCTTTTCGCAAGATCACTCTAAGGCAATAGCACCCCACAAGACCGCTCACAGATAGCAACCTTGAATGAACACAACACGCAAGAACCGGTCCAACTCTCTCTTCGCCATTGAACAGTCGATCGCAAGAAGGTTGTCTCCTTCTCCTCACAATTCTTCCTTCAGCCAGCTGCAAGCTAGAACTAGAATAGATTACCTTTGCGTCGGCATCAGGGTCTAAATCTCTTCGAAATCCTCGACCATGCCAACGCTTTATTCTCTAGTACTCTCGTCGACCGCGGCAACCACTGGACGTTCATGAGTTTGACTACAACCTCTTCTCAACCGTGTTGTGCCAATGCTAACACTGACAGTCGGGCGTCGCAAGCCACACTGGTGCTGCCGTCACTCGGTCACCCCTCCTCATCCGTTCGTACTTGCGGTGATGAAGACTACATCACGTCGGACACTCCCTGTTCACCTACCCAGCTGACTTCGAACGTGTCTCTCGTACGACAATCTTTCCGTTGTACTCACTGGAAACGACCTACACACCATCGCCCCTGTGATCCTTCCGAACGACAGCTTCCAATGCGTCGCCGACACTCGTTCAAGACCTTGGCGTATCTTGATGGCCGGAATGTTGGGTGCCGATCCACCAACCTTCACTCGGGTCCCCATGGAACGGCGAGGCAGATGTGGCTCCTACCGGTCCCGTCGCCTCATGCCCATTCCGCACTACCTGACCTCACGAGTACTCACGCAAGTGCCTACCGTGCGATACTCTATCACCCAGTCCCGAAACCTTATCCTAGGCACGGAAATCACGCATGCTGATGCAGCCCGACAGAACGCCATTATCCCTCTCGTCCAATGTTTTCGCGCGGTCTGCACCAGCGACGCAAACGGATCCCTCCTTCGCATCACTGGAGAACATCGCCTCTACCTGCCAATGTCATGGCCCTCAGCGCTGCATCAATCTCGTCACTCGACCATTGCTCCACCGCCCTGGGCGCTACGGACCTGGACTGACGAAGACACCTTCAACGCCGGAGTAGCCAACATCCAAAATACCCTCGCCAACGTCAACCGAGAACAACTGGATTTCGAACGCGCTCGGGGGACCAAGACCTTCACGTCCAAATTCGGTGTCAACCTGGCCACTCGCGTCCACAACCTCTGCAACGTCGCCGCGGATGAAAACCTTCCCGAAATCCACGGACTCCTAGCAAACTGCACTAAAGAAGCGACTACAGCACACTGCAATGCCAACTGGACATCCGCACTGCGGCACCCCTCTCCCCCTCGAACAGGAGAACAAACCCTTGGCCACGGCACACCTCGACAAGGTCTTTCGAAAGTACGAAGCCTCCACCACAGGACAGGTTTCGGAAGGTCTCCTCCTTCTCCGTGTGCCAAGGACAAGCGGAGTCCAAGGCGGTCATGGATCTCGCTGCGAAGGCCACACTTGTCGAGCGTGGTCACTCCATCACTCTGCAAGACGCGGACATTCTCTCCACCACCGATGTGAAGTTCCCTATCGACCCTCGGACCGCCGAAGAAAAGCTCTACGGCTTCTCCATCTTGCTGGACGTCTTCCACGGGGTTGATCACGCCATCTCGATCAACGCCCGAAGTGTTGTACGACGATTAGGACCGATTCTCTACACCGTTGCCAGAAACTACGCCGACAAGCCTAGCCTTGGTATGGACATCATCGGCCGTATTCTCTACGACATACAGCAGGACTATTTCGCCTGGGTGAACCGGGCTGTGAACGACCGAACGGTAGTCCCTCCAACCTTCGAGAAGGTCCTGGGACTAGTCCAATCCCATCGATCCTCGACTCTAGCCTCGCTTCCTTCTCACTGGTACTCCCTCATCAAACCTCTCCCCCCTCCTCCGTCCTTCGACAAGCCCGCCGGCACTCACCAACAAAAGGCCGGGGCTCACGGTGTCACCAACGCCCACGGAGACAGTGAACTTCTCAAGCGCTTCCAGTCGTCAGGTCATCGCTCCATCGGGGAGATGACCCGGGGACATGACATTGACATCCCCCAGCACGGTGGTCAGGATGTCTGCTTGGCGTGGGCCCTCAAAGGAAACTGCACCTCATCCTGCAAGCGGGTGGCCACGCACAAGCGCTACCCTACCACTACGAACAACAAGCTCCACGAACTTCTGACCACCTGCGGTGTGGCCAGAGCTCAGGCGTGAGTATCCACGCCCGGGTCCTCGGTGAAGGTGGGAAATAGCCTTCCCTTCACCGTCGCCCCCGTCAACCGACGACAGTTCGGCTCTCCACTTCCTAGCAGCCTTGATGTCCCTCCCTCCGGCCGAAACCGGCGGAGCATTCCTGTCCTCAACATAAATACATCTATTCATCCTTCACAAACACTACACAACAACAACGCCACTCCTTCACCTACTAAGCGCCCTTCACTCTTCAACGACTCGCCCCCGGCGAAGCGTCCTTCACCTTCAAATTCACGCTCCCGTGAAACACCTAAAACTACTAGCACTACCGTTGACACCAGATCCGTCCGAAACGATCGTCTAGGTACGTTAGTCTCTAAACTATGTCGCGATTACTCCCAAGCCGAGTCCTGGGAGTCCTTTGTCACAAACTTCCGAGGTTAGGATCCTACCTCTCGCGCCGAACCTGGAACAGTCGATTCAATCAAGCCATATCCTTGCTTTCACCGCAATCGGCGTTGACCACAGGGGTCCTCCGCTAAACAACAACTCCCCGTCCTTGGACCGCGAGCAGAAGGAGAATTGCATCCTGCCGGGTGTCACAAGTCTGCCACCGAGCATTCCGACTTCTTCCGTGAGGAATTCTCCGAATTCATCACCAACAAGTTCTGGGTAGTCCTACCCTACGACCTTGTCAAAGATGAACCATCCCTGCTCCTATCCGCCGCCGCGGTCAAGGAAGAACGGGACCGAAAACCTCGTCTCATCAGCGATCACTCCTGGGACTGGGGATGGCCCTCCGTGAACCAAACCACGGTCCATCACGCTCCTCCCGAGGCTATGCAATTCGGCGGAGCACTCCCTCGAATCCTCTATGATGTTCGTCACGCAAACCCCAAGTTTGGCCCTGTTCGCCTCTGCAAGCACGACATCAAAGACGGCTTCTACCGCATGTTCCTGAACGCCTCGGACTGCATCCGTCTCACGCTCGTCCTTCCTCGATACGAAGGAGAACCCCAACTGGTAGCCATCCCGATGTCTTCCACCATGGGGTGGGTCCAATCCCCTCCTACATTCAGCGGAATGTCCGAAACTGCCTGCGACCGGGGCAACACCCGTTTCCTGCACTCACCGCGTGCCTGTCCACCGCACCGACTCGAAAACCAGCCCCGCCAGATGACCTGACCTTCCATGTACACCACGTCCCCGACACCGGAAGATGATGCCGCCACCAGGCCCTCCCAACATCGGACGGGAACCCCTCGACACCTCCACGACAGGACGTGCTGCAGTCTCCAACACGAGTCACAACAGGCCCCTCGGCCGGAATACTCTTCGCGACGACTCATCAACTCGCGACAAGGAAAAACCGGATGAACGCCCGTCGGCCACTCTCCACGCCATTGGAGATTCTCGCACGCCCCAACCTCGACGAGAAGCCACCGCAACGAAGCCGTCTCCCTAAAGAAACTCCTGAAGGGTGACGGCAGTTGGGCCACCCGAAAACTCATCCTTGGTTGGATCATCGACACCCTACGACAGACACTCGAACTCCCTCCTCATCGCAAAGAGCTCTCGCGGCCATCTTCCAAGAGCTCGCCGCCTGCAAACGCGTCAGTAACAAACGATGGATGAAATCCTTGGGAAAGCTCCGCATTTGTCTCTGTAGCCATCCGCGGCTCGCTGGGCTGTTCAGCGCGCTCCAACCGACCTCTCACCAAGGCGAAGGGGAACCGCATCCGAATCACGTCCGCTCTCCGCCACCACATCGACGCCTTCGCAAACCTCGCGGCTAGCCTCTGTCACAGGCCTACCCACCTCGCTGAGATCGTGCCACAAGACCCTTCCTACTTCGGTGCCACTGACGCAGCCAAAGCTGGCATGGGCGGGGTGTACTTCGACTCCACCGGCCAGGCCAAGGCTACCTTTGGCGGGAGCCCTTCCCCGACGACATCCAACAGGACCTGGTCTCCGCCGCCAACCTCTCGGGGTCCACACCAACAGCGACCTCGAACACGCTGGCATCTTGGCACAACAAGCCCTTCTCTCCGAACGCCACGACGTCCGTACGCCACTCTCTACACCTCTGTCTGACAACACCCCGGCTGTCTCCCGTGTCGCAAAAGGTTCTGTCTCCACCGATGGGCCCGCCGCTTTCCTCTGCAACTACGCCTGTCTCCACCAACGCAAGCATCGGTACTGCCCCCTCGCTTCCTACATCCAGGACCGGCCAACGTCATGGCGGACGACACTTCTCGTCTGCAACATCTCACCATGCCTGAACTTCTGTCCCACTTTGAGCAGCATTATCCACAGCAGCTACCTTGGAAGGGGTTGACGCTGCCGCCCGAGTCGTTTCCAGTCTACTCTCCCGCGCTTCGTTGCAAGTCGCCTCCAAAACTGTCGTCACCAAGACCGCTCAGGCCCGAAACCGCACCTTCGGCCGCTGGTGCGAGTTCTGCGACCGCCACAACGTCTGCGAAACCCTCAGTGATATCGTAGCCGAGGTCCGCCTCTGCTACCTCCTACCTTTGCCCACACCTACCGCGTGTCGAACTCTGTCCGAGCTGACACAGTGGTCAAAGCCCTTTGCCGTCGGGAGGGGTATCCAACTGGACTACCCTGTCCCCGACTCGGCGCCAATGGAAAGCTCCATCCCCTACTCGCTAATTACTACAAAGGCCTCCACGACGAAGATGGACCCCCAGACCGGGCCTACCCTGCCAACCTCTCCATCCTCCGCGAAATGCTCTCTGTCCTCGACTACGTCGACCCCATCAAGGGAACCGTCAACCAAACACACTCGGGACCTCTGCATCTGTGCTTCTTCTGGCTTCTCCGTCCCGCCGAGTACCTCGACACAAGCAATCCTGGGGCCCGCAGCCAGGCCTTTCTCCTGGAGGACATCACTTTCACCATCGCTGGTCGCCTCCAAGTCACCGCCGACAAGATCTCTTGAATGACGTGTCTGACCCCAGTCGCCTCACCGCGGCTTCGCTGACATTCACTGACCAAAAGAACGCCGTCAAAGGCGAGTCCGTGGGCCATCGTGCTCACCTCTGACCCATGGCTCTGTCCTGTCAAATCCTCGCCCGTCTCGTCCGGCACATCCGCATCTCACTCTCAACGCTCAAGGCGACGGCGGCCGCAATCGCCGCTACTCCGCTCTACAAACACTATAACTCCGTCCACAAGAATGGTACCACGTCAAACCCAAGTTCATCAACCGATGCCCTTCGAGTTGCCGCAAAGCGGCTCGAACGGACTACCGGAATCTCCCACAAGAAGGTGTCCGCTCGCTCCCTTCGTCCGGGCGGCGCCACTGCTCTCCTCTGCGCCCATGTTGACTCGGATGCCATCCGCCTTCTCGGTCGATGGAAGTCCGACGCATGTTGCGCTATCTTCGAATCCAGGCCGCCACCATCACGCACCACTACTCCCAGAAAATGCTGGCCCATGGTGCCTACACCTTCCAGGCGGGATCCTACGACAAGTTCCTCCCGCCTGCTCAGGCGCCTGCTACCATCGCAGAGATCCTCCTTCACGCGGACTCTACGAGGACTAACCTCCCTTAGTCCAATTCCCCAGAGAGACCTTGCCTCCTCTCGGTCTCTCCAACTTTTCCCACCCCGCTACGCTCCACCCTGTTCTGCCTTTGGCTATTTGGGTTGGCCGAATGTCGCACAATCACGCGGGACTCACATCCCGCGGGACTGCCTCATTCGTGCCTTGGTTCCCGCTCGGGATTCTAGCAATCACGAGCGGCACCCTGGGTTGCGGAGACGGTCGGCTCAGTAAATGGCCGAGTCTCTCCACCACCCTATCCTACTACTCTACTCAACTAGTCGTGCTGTGCTGCTCTAGGCGAGCGCCGCTTGTCGGCGCTCGCTACCAGAAGATTCAGGTGTCTTGTTGGAAGATGAAGTGATCTCAGACTGTGAAGCTGACGCTGACGCTGGTAATGAAGAGGAAGGTATTCTTGAAGGTGAACGTTTGACAGATTTGTTGAACCAGTTGCTGTGGGACTTCCGTGAGTGTGATCCCAGCAAGGAAACTTTGTCTTGTCCCGAGTTATCAGACGCCACAACAGAGCTGAAGAGGGGTGTCGCGAACCGTTTTGACACGCCCCTTGACTGTCTTGCTATTACCACAGGACTGGATGATGCCTTTGTAGCCCGACTTGCATGTAACTCCAACCACTACGCCGAAGCTTTTATTCTTCCGCACAAACGGAATCGCTACTTTCACAACTTGAAATGGCAAGCAATCACAATTACGGAGATGATGCGATTCCTGGGAATTATGTTGAAGATCTCCCTATCGCCAGTGGATGGAGGAGGGTACACGGCGTACTTCAACCCCGAAGAACGTCCCATCATGTTCGACAGAAACATCCGACCAATCAAGATCAAAGGATCCCAGGGATTTGCTGGTGGGATTATGTCGTTGAATCGATTCAGGCAGATACGTGCAGCTTTCCATCCTGAAACCAAGGTGCCGAATGATACAGATAAGTGCTATCAGCTCAGACATGCCATTGACACCTTCAACACCCATGTAAAAAGCACATTTGTGATTGGAAGAGATCTTTGCTTCGACGAAGGTGGCATTGGCTGCCGTTCCCGATTTTGTCCAGTCCGGCAATACAATTCGAAGAAGCCGCAAAAGTTTCGAGTGGATCTTTTCATTTGCTCTTGTGCCGCTTCTTATTGCATTCTTCACCTTGATGTTTACCAGGGAAGGAATGTGACGGAAGTGGGCATTCACAAGGATCTTGTTGGTCTTCCGACTACTCAAAAGGCACCGATGAACGCCATGTATGCTCTTGGATTGCATTTGGATACCTCATCTGCCCCCAGGCATATGGCCCTGGATAACCGCTACATGTGCCCTGAGCTTGGGGTATTGTTGCGTGAGAAAGTGAATGTTTATGCAACAGGTACAACCAAGTCGCTGGGATAGGAAACTCATGGATATGCCGAAAACAGCCAACCGGGGCAGTTACAAGATTGCCGTTGATAAGGTCAACAAGGTGGTGTGCATCCAATGGCGAGATTCGCGAGTGGTAAACACGGTGACTACTCTTGGGGATACATCAATCACCAAAGTCGAACGTCAACTTGGACCAACGGTTACAGAAGTGGACTGTCCCATGGCAGTAACAAAATACCAACAAACTATGTTTGGAGTGGATAAGGGCGGCCAAATCCGTGTGCATAGTGGAGGCTTCGCCAATAAAGCTCACTTCAAGAAGTGGTACAAGAAAATCTACCTGGGAATCCTTGACTGCTATCTATTGAATGCTTACATTGCTTGGAACATGGCAGCGGCTATTCCTCGCTCAACCAAACACAATCTACACCGGCACGAGTTTTTTGCAGTTGTGGCGGAACAAATGATGATTTACTTCCGGAATGAAGACGACGATGACGTTGGCATTGGTACCAACACTGTGTTGGATGGACGTTTCAGAGCAGCGCAAGAACAACAGAATACTAGTCACTATCCAGTCGCAAAGGAGGCTGGTCGCCGGAATGTTCGCTGTGCAGTCTGCAAGTTGGAACGTAACATGAACAAAGCAATTAGAGAGAAGGGAATGGCACAAAATGTTGTTATGTGTTCCGATTGTCCCATTCCGGCACACAACCATGTCGTTCGAGATGATGCTCATCGGATTATCAACAAGCGAAGCGAATTCAAGAACATGACATGCTTTCAGATTGTCCACAGTGAGGCTGGTCAACGATTGTGGAAGATCTGTAAAGGAGGCAGCGATCGTGTCCAATATAAGCCCCAACAAATCGATCCAATCTATCAAGACTTATTGCAACACCACACGGGCGAAAGAACTCGAAAGCGAAGGAAACACAACAATGATGGCAATAATGACGAGGACGAGGACGAAGAAGAAGACACCCAAGAGGAAGAAGATGACTGCGTGAGAGCAAGTGCAAATAACTCTACAGGAGTGTAAAACGTAGGAGCTAAGACTAGCTAATAGTTTACATGTATTCCTTTCCACAAGTGTCACTAGTATTTGTTATTCTGTTTCTACATAAACTCTCTTGTCGCCATTTTCCTAAATCGTTTTCCTAAATCGCCATTGGCATCTTGTCGCCATCCTTGCTCTTGTCGCCATCCTTGCTCTTGTCGCCATTCTTGCTCTTCTTCTTGGCTGAAACCCTGATAGGAGACCAGTCGGGTTGACTGCAATAGGAAGGAAGCTCAGGCAAAGAGGCCATGGGAGGAGTGGGAGGCGACGTATCATCAGCACCGTCGTCATCATCATCATTGTCGAACTTTTCAGAATCATGACTGGCCGTCTCCAACAAAGTGAGTTCTTGTTGTTCCTCCAACATCTTCCTCTTCTTCTTGGGCTTGTAGCCAACATAAGGTTGTCCCTCCGGATTGGGGTGCCTTCCTCTAATGAATGCCAAAAAACAAGCAGGAAGTGACTGACGATTGTGCTTACCAACAACACCTTTCCAGAGGCGAAAGCTCTCACGGTACAGCCTGTATCGAATTTCATGAGGGCGGTATCCAGCTTGGCGGAACTCATCCCCAATCTGGACAAGGATGTAGCCACTGGTTACCATCTCGCAGGGCATGCAGTAGCAAAACGAACAAATCTCTTCATCTTCGACAGATGGGTCAGACTCCAAGTTGGCGTCAACAGCATACAAATCCACAACTTCAGCCTTCCGACCTTCCGGCTTCTTCTCAGGAGAGGGAAGCTCAGCCCCCGCAACAGCAACAAGCTCATCTTGTTTGGCTGCTTCCTCATCTTCCGTGGCTTCCTTCCAATCAATCTCGTTGTTGACATCATCAATCTTGCCTTCCAGCTCTCTGGCGGCCTTCCTCACCATATCCGCTCTCTTCTTCAATTCCAGATCACTTCGAGCTTCGACCACAGCCGTCTTCTTGGTAGGAGCATGATTGGCGACGGTCACGCCATTGCGCTGGTCGCGAAACCACTTGAAGAGACCCGCCGCTCCTTCCTTGCTCATCGTGGATTTCATGCGGTCAGTAAAGACAAACTGGGGATCCAATTGGCTCAACCAACTCATCTGAAAATTATGAAACCAAGCAATGCAAACATCAGCGATACAACAAGAGCAAGCACGCCTACAACGTTGGCTTTACCAAGCACATTCTATGCCGTTGCGATGCTGTTGGCCGTCATTTGAGCGCCATTGCCTTATCCGAATTCGATATAAAAGAAAGGGGCTGATAAGCTTGTTAACTCACACAGGTGTTGCGCACTGGTGTCAGCAACACCAGTCTTAGCCCTAACACTGGTGCCAATCTGCACCTGTCTTAACCTTAACAGGCCCCCGTTGCGAATCGCGTTAATAAAAGCAAAGAACAGTCGAAATTCAGGACTAGGTTCTGTGGGATCAGGGGCAAGAAATTGAGGACCAATACGGGGGCCAAATGGTTTGGCTTTGCGAGATCCACGGAGACATAAATGGGTAGCTTTCACAAGGGCAATTGAGATACGGGTCTGCATGAAAAACATCATTTGAGAGTAGGAAAACTGAGTTTTGGAGGCAGTAGCAGAAGCAAGCCGTTGTAAGAGAATCTTGGCTTGGGGGGCAAGCATGCCATCCACAGAAACAACAAATTGGGGGCTCAGTATTACACATAACAGACCGACCATGAAAATGATGAGGTCGTTGCTTTTGATTCCCTTGTTGTTAGTGGGCTCTGTTCATGCCTTCTCGACTGTGAGAACAACAAGAGGACTGGCCACGGAAATTCGGCGAGAAGGTTCATTTCGAGTTATTCCCACGGCTACCCAAAGTCATGGACCGAAAGGAGTGAATGTCCCTTTACAACTCTTTGCCACAACAAGAGAAGATGACATTAGCAGCCCACGAAAACAAGGCAAGCTGCGATGGATCCGAAATCTGTTTGCACGACGCCCTCGAGTACCTGTGAAAGCAAAACGATTGTTTTCGGCATTTTTTGTAGCCATGGCCCTTTTTATGAGTGGCATGTCGCCGGGACCAGCACACGCGGCCTCTCCCTTTGCTGTTAAGTTTACTGGCATGGAAGTGGTCGCTCGTGGTCCCGAGTGGTCTTCTGCTGGTGGCAGCTTGGATGCTTCCTCCGACATGTTGTCTCTGGCCATGCAAAAACGACAGGCTACCCTCAGCCGACAGCAGGCTTTAGCAGCGGTAACTGGTCGATCCAGTACCGCAATGATAATGGCGGCTAGCATGGCTGCAGCAGTAGCAGTGCCCACTGGAGTCAGTGTCGCCTTGTTTCGCAAGGCAGATTCCAATGAGAAAGTGGTTGACGAGCTCATGTTGAAACAAAAGGAGTTGATTGATCAAGTTTCCACACTGTCGCAAGCAGTTGCCAGCAATGAAGAAGAGGCGGGTGGACCATACGGAAGCCTGGGATCGGAACTTTTGTTCTTGGCCCTTTCTGGTTTGTCTGCCTATGCCACCTATTTCGTGTCCAATCCACCCGAGTAAAAAAGTGCATACCTACACTATAATCGGTACTCAAGATCAGGTGAGGAAGCAAACGCGGTGGAGAGCAAGTGTAACGTCCAGGCGTGTGGCTATTTCACTCTCAACTGCAGAAGCGTCTGGAACTGCAGGCAATTGCTTGAAGCTGCGTCATGGGCAGCAAAACAGCACCATAGAATCCCAGCATTCATTGAGCGCAGAGACAAGGCCAATGATCGAAGAAAGAGCTGAATGCTGGGGCATTCACAACAACCATGTACAACAAACATACACAGCGTACCGAACTTACCAAAAGGGAGCAAAGAAGCCAATACTCCGGGTAAAGTACCATACCGTAGATTACTAAAATAAAAAGAACTTGTTGCACAAACACTTGGGACATGGTCTCCCCACTAATATGCAATTTGTGTGCTTCCAGATTGAACTGGCCAGCTAGCTAGTGCAGTCAGGAACAAGCCAGCATATCACGGGCAGCCCTGAACAGAAATTGACTTTCCCAGAGAGCCGGCCTTGATGCTCACTTCCTAGCTCGATATGCAGCAACAATTATAAAAGCTTGCTATATCCTACTACTAGTTAGCTTTGGTGCCTTACCGCCGTCTGGATCAACACCCAACGTTGTGTTGGCTGTTGGGCAGAGCTCAGCCGTACCATCGAGGCAGAGCCGAGTGGAGCTGCGAAGATCAAGGCGATCAAGCACGAGGTTTTCCGATGACGACTTCGCCTGATTCGATTCGATTCGATTCCGATTGAATCGAATCATTCATCTTCTGCTGGATTTCGGTCGGCAGTCGGCAGGAATGCAGCATGGTTTCTAACCCTCAAGACTCGCCTTGGCCCGCCAGGTTGCTATCCTTCATTACAGGCGGAAATCAAATCTTTCGGGAAGGCTGACCCATTCTTCTAACTTGAAAGATCATATCAGTCATGTGCAACCCAAAATCAGCCTCCCCGAAAGGCGGGGATGAAGAGACTAAAGAGCAACCGACCAAGAATAGACGTCTTCCTCCTGTGAAACTGAAGGTGTCAGATCTGTTCGATCTGAGCAAGCCTTGGATTCTGGTAGAGGATGGTTCCTATGGCGGGTTCTTCAACAATGTACCCACTGTCTTTCGTGTGGGTCCTTGGAACATTGCTTGTTGTCTCTATTTATTTGCCATCATCTCTTGGATCCTATTTGAGATTGTGCAATGTTATGCCAATCCACCCAAGGTTCCCCCCACAGACTACCACAGCTCGTATGGCGCCAATACATGGCAATGGTGGTACAATGTGGCTGGATTTGCATGGACATGCTACATTGCCTCTGTAGTTGTCAAGTCACCCATGGGGTGGACCGCTTGGTTTTCGTACACACTCCAGAGCTGGACACTCATCATCGTTCGACATGGATTGTCAGCACTGGCACCCTTGGTTCCGGCTCTGGCACCCCTCAACGAACTCCTAAGATTTCCCATGCTCCTACAGGCGACTGTAACCTTTGTCGTGTGGAATTTTATACTCTTTCCATCAATTGCCATGACAATGAAGAACCCCAAAAACAAACGAGACTTTCTCAAGTTTTGCTTTGGATTCCTGTGTTCCCAAGTTCACATCGCAAACCTCCCATTGGCTGCTATGAATGGTGTATGGGGGAGTCCAGCACGAGAGCTCAACCAAATGGACTTTTGCATGGCATTGGGATTTACATTGCAGTACGTTGTCCTCTATCTCTTTGTACTGGATCGCTTTGGGGTCCATTTCTACTTTGTCTTTAGTCCGCGAACTCCATTGGCAATCATTGGATGGTCAGCCATTCTCGGATGCATTTTTGCTGGTTTTTCGGTGTGGAAGCCTGCCTTGGTGAACTATGGATTGGTGGTATGAATTGATAGTGCATGCTGGCAGTTTCAACAATACCCACAAAAACCAAACTCGAAGCATCAGCTTTTGATGTCAAGATGATTTGTTTGCATTCTTCAATGCAGATAGAGGCCGATGCATCCCTCTAACACTTTAGTATTTAGTAGTCTGATATCTAGGAAGTCGCTAAACTAACGAAATAGGCCAAATCAGCAAGGAAGGGATGAACGATGCCAACCTCCCAGAGGCCCACGCAGAGCTGCTAACTGCGAGCTTCAACTTGCGTCCGCGATGATGCGGATGTTGGAGATGTTGAATGCAGACGAGGGCAAATCACCTGCGCACAGCATCATGACCATTTTGGCCCTTGTATTGGCCCCCGGTTCATCCCCCTGATCCCGCCTAACCCAGTCCATCTCTTCTCTTTAAAAGCTTGACATATTGGCCCACTTCCGGCTTTTGTATCCTACTAGTGAACAATCCAATACTCTGGGCCCTCTTCCTGCCACCAGATAACTTTGGACCAGAAAGTACTACCTCTGGTGGTGGTACTATTAAATACAGTAGTACGCCACCCTCGGACATCTTCTTGCACCCCGCCGCACCATGTTTGGCTGACCTGCTAGCTTTTTTAATTAAATGAAATCATTGCAGGATCTTCGAAGAAAGAAATCGGGAACACACACGAACAGCATGGATCAGCTATGGATCTTTTAGCAGCTGCTGACACACTGCTTCACCCTCATTTTTCGTCATCAAAGAATGGAATGGATTAATTCTCTGTACAGTCGTACAGTCGTATCCAGGACCAGTATCATCAAGGACAATGCATGGTGCCCATATTACCCCTCATGATCGAGACTGAACTCCTTAGCCGCTGAATTCTTTCAGGAGACTTGTAGGAACATTGATCCCACTTCTTCTATCATACTTTTGAAGTACCAGCAGTCATGTGTAAACCAACAACCGCGTCCCCGAAAGGCGGGGAAAACAATGAGGCAACGGCGACGACGAAAGATAATAGATCGACCAACAAGAGCTTCCTACCGTCAGTGGAAATAGAGCTTTCAGACTTCTTTGATGTTAGCAAGCCTTGGCTTTTGGTACAGGATGGCAACTACAAGGGTTACTTCAACAATGTTCCGGCTGTCTTTCGTGTGGGTCCTTGGAACATTGCTTGTTGTCTCTATTTATTTGCCATCATCTCTTGGGTCGTTTTTGAGTGTGTGTGCTGTTACACCAACCCACCCAATGTCCCCCCCACAGACTACCACAGCTCATTTGGGACTGACACATGGCAATGGTGGTACAATGTGGCCGGATTTGCATGGACATTCTATGTTGCCGCCAAGGTGAAGAAAGACTGGGGGTGGAGTGCTTGGTTCTTGTACACAATGCAGAGTTGGACACTCATCATTGTTCGGCATGGATTGTCCGTACTGGCACCATTTGTTCCCGCAGCTGCACCTCTCAATGAACTCCTGAGATTTCCCATGCTCTTACAGACAACCATAACGTTTGTCTTGTGGAACTTTTTACTCATGCCAGCCATCACCTTCACAATGAAGGACCCAAAAAAGAGAAGTGGCTTCCTCAAATTTTGCTTTGGATTCTTGCTTTCGCAGCTCCACATTGCAAACCTTCCATTGGCAGTTATGAATGGTGTATGGGGGAGTCCAGCACGAGAACTCAACCAAATGGACTTCTGCATGGCATTGGGATTGGCATTGCAGTACATTGCCCTCTATCTATTTGTACTTGATCGCATTGGGGTCCATTTCTACTTTGTGTTCAGTCCGCGGACACCATTGGCTATCATTGGGTGGACAACCTTTCTGGGGTGTCTCTTTGCTGGTTTTGCCATGTTTAAGAATGCATTGGTGGACTATGGAGTGGCAGCATGAATAGATAGTTCGCACCAACTTATTTATCAAGATGAACGTTTCCCCTTTCGTTTATTCCATGAAAATGGAGGGTGTCTGTGTACCGGTACTGGTGCCCCCACAGGTCATCTATCCTACTAATCGAGTAGCTAGGGAGTCACGAACTCTGTCAACTGCTTTCTGGCTCAACCCAATCCCTGACATTCCTTTGAAGCAATGTTGCTGCTTTCAAATTGAATACGGTTGCGTTAGCTACCTGTGTCAAAACTGTCCTTCCGCCACAGCACTTTGTCTTTGTCCGCTGTGATTTTTGCAAATCGAATACATTCGATTTGAATGATGCATCAATCGATTCGATTCGATGTTAGATTGTCGCCACAGAAGCAATTACGTCAGTTCACCCCAACAATTTTGGTGGGCGTTTGTCGTCGAAGGCCGAAAGTCGAGAGGTAGTACAGTATTAGTGGTGGTTTGTAAGAGGGCCAGTCCTGAAGAAAGCTATTGGACCCTTCAAGATGGCTCTCTCGTCAAGGGTATTGAAGGCAGTTGTTGTCGTTTGGCTCTGTGCGGTCGCGGGCTGTTTCGCACCCTCCAGGATACCAAGACAACCCGCTGCAAAGCTGGTACCGGTTGGTCCAGTAGGAAAGTCTCTTGGAGCCAGAACCCCGGCATCGGTGCAATTGGATTCTTTTCCAGGTCCCATCCAAGAGAAGAAACGGGAATTATTTGGGAATTGGCGTCCTAGACTTTCGCTCCGACGCTGGATTCAAAGGTTGCAACATGTGCGCATTTCACCCCAGAATCGACACAGATTCGCAGCATTGGTATTTGCGGGATGTCTGTGGCTACGAGGTGGATTTCCACTGCAGGCACATGCCAATGCTCCAAACGTAGCGCCTACGCCCGTTGAGCATATCCAGATGATATCTGGTGGATCCGATGAGGCTGCCACAGAAGAGGCTGTTCCAGAAAGTTCAGTTGGTGTTAAGAGCAATGGCGCCAAATCCAGAACCTTGGCGAAAGCAGTTATCGGTGCAGCTGTTGTAATTCCATCGGCTGGCTGGATATATTCCCGTGTCCAAGGGGACGACCAAGATGAATCAGCAGTCGACGATGACTTGGATGAGGACACAAAAACTAGCGAGGGGACATCGTCTGAAAGCAAAAACATGGTAGACAAGTCACGGCCCAAGGTAGATGCAGACACCTATCTGAAGAGCCTTCAAAAGGAAAAGAGTCTCATATCATCTGCCCTTAGCAAGCTTAACAGACAAATCGAGTCGGCTGCTGAGGCGGACGAAAAAGCAGCCAACAGGATTCCACAAGGTAAGAATTGCTCCCTCATATTATTTTCTGATATCGCCCTTCAATCATCACTACTGACACATTTTTCCAGTTTCACATCCGATTGCCGCTGAGAAGTTGCAATATGGTGCAGGAAAAACTTCGACGGATACTGCCACAGATGCAGAGCTGCCTTTGATGAGCCGAAAATACATCGAGGCACGTCGACAACCAAAGAGTGCCCCGGAAGAGAAGCGGTTGAGTGAAAAGTACGAGAAGTACACAGGTAAGTGCATACCGGGAAGTGTGTAGTGAGGTCCCATACAGCTCCGCCCTCCTCACGCTGGACCCTCTTCTGCTATGCCAGATGTGGGAGAGAAAGCATTCGCCATTTTGGTGGACCTCGGCATGATTGAGACGACAGAGGACATTGAAGAAAAGGCACCTGCACCTACAACATTCATACCTTCAATGGAAGGGGAGGAGGAGCCATTCCAATAATGCACCATTTTGGTGGTAGCTAACCTAGAAGGAATGCATGGAAGCGAGTTGACCGCATGAATGTACAGCAACAGACAATGCACGTGTAGAATGTAAATCGTAAGTAAGTATTTTTAACAAATAGTAGTAGCTAAAGGTAGAACAACCAAAGAATTAACGAACAATCCATCATCAGTCATCCAATATGGCCTTCATCAAATCCAGCAGCTCCTTGTCTGCACTGTCCACGCCTTCTTCGTCACCTTGCGTGATGACTTCGTCGAGGCTTTGACCGTACGTTTCCCTGAACTGGGCCTTGACTGCTTCCAACTCAGAAGGATCAAAAGCCCCGGAGTCTTTCATTTGTTTCAACATCTTCAACGATTCTTTGAGCTGCTCAGGATCCACTTCACCTTCCTCGCCCATCATACCTTCCATACCCGCAAGTCCTTCCAAGCCACCTTCCCCGCCAAACTGCTTCATCATATCTTCCATATCACCGTCCTTCATCATTTTCATCATGTTCTTTTGTAGGGCCTTCATCGTCAAACCTTGTGCTTTCTTCTCAGAGATCTGGAATGCGTCTTGCAGCAAGCTTACTCGAGCTTCAAAATCAGTATCCATGTCACCCAAATTCATCATACCGGATGTGGCATAAGCACTATACATTTTCTCCAACTGTCCCTTGCCAAGATTTCCACCATACGTCACGGGCTCGATCACAGTTCCACCAGCAACAGAGTCGTACAAAGATGAAGCATGATTCATAAAGTCAATCACAACACCAATACCGTCGACAGTAACCTTATCGTCCTTAGCTTTCAAGGTGGACGATGCCAAGTCTACAATGTCGATCAACATGCAGTTGACAACGTTGGCAAACACTTCAGCCGATTCTTCCAGGGCTATCCCCGCCTCTTCACGGGAATCTGTCAGCCTTTGTTTGGCAGCTTCCAATTCAAACTCTTGAAAAGGCATGTCACCCGGGAGACGATCGACGCTTGGGAAGCGGCCGGGTGCTCCATATGTCAGAATTTTCGCCAGCAAACCCGCGAATTGTGGTGCTGTTGCCCCTTCTGAGACCAACACTGCCAAGTCAGTCTCCCGGCTGTTCTTGTTCTTCTTTCCAAAGAATCCTCGTCGTTTCTTCTTTGGCGCCGGCATTGGCGTTGGTTCGGGTGGCGCCTCAGTTTTGTCCATGGAATCCAAGCCGCCAAGCCCATCGTCTACCACTTCTAGAGCTGGTGCGGATCCAGGGCTATTTTGTGTGTCCTCATCTTCATCCATTCCCATTAATAGGCGGAATTGTTTTTCTCGCTCTTCTTCAGCAAGAGCGGCTCTGTCTTGCATAATTTTAAATGCATAACCACCGCCTCCGACAGCCACAACGCCAACTCCAGCAAGTGGTAAGACAGGAATCTCGGCACCTCCAATTTTGACCGTATTGGCTTTCTTTGACTTCTTTGCCGCTGGGGGTGCTACACTGGTTGTTTCTTCTTCTGTTGTAGATTCAGCTGCTGTGGCTGTATCGGCGTCGCCAGCAATCCCGGCACCTCCACCGTCGGAGGATGGCGTCGCAGCCTCTACGGCGGAACCAACCACCGACTGGGCGGTTGTCTCGACACCTGAAACAGCTACTGCAGCGGCGGCAACAGCAGCCTTTTTGGCTACTTTGGCTGCCTCTTTTTCCTTCTTTTGCGCTTCTCTGGCAGCCTTGGCTTCTTCTTTGGCAGCCTTCTTTTCAGCAGCAGCCTTGGCCTTGGCTTCTGCCTTGGCTCGCTTCTGTTCCTCCTTTTCCTTCTTCTGTTGTTCCTTGTCCTTTGATTTGTTTGCACCTGCCTTTTCCATCTTTTCCTTGACACTCATTTCTCCCTCCTTTGGCACATTGATTTGTCCGTATTGTTCCAAGTTGGCCTGGTACTTTTGTGCCAATTGTGCAGCAGCAACAGGGGTCATGGCCATGATTGTTTGTGTCTGTTCTTGATGATCATCAAAGTATGCTAATGGATCTTGACCTTTGTTTTTCATATCCTCTACCATTGCCTTGACCACGCGTCGATTGGGAGCCTGTTTGTACAGCAGACTCTTTTCAATCTTCTTTCCACCTTCTAGTTGTTTTTGCAAATACATCATAGTTCCAGGTACCTTTCCTAAGTCAACTCCCTTCTCTGCCAAGATAACTTGTCGTTGTCCTTCAATGGTAGTGAACGGATCCATGCCCTGATCCAGCAAGTCTCGTTTGAGTTGGGTTACTGCATCGATACGATCCTGAGCTTCCTTCTCCTTTTGTGCTTTGTATTCCTTTTCAAACTTACTCCGAGCAGCGGTTCCTTCACTGGCTTCAATCTCACGAGCCCTTTTATTCATCTCTTGCAACTCTTGTTGCTGTTTCACCACCATTTTGCGATCATGGTTGAGCAAGGCATCGGTGGCGGGATCTCTTTGCTCCGCCTTGGGTACTGCCATGACAGGAGCAGATGCCTCAGCAGGTCGGGGTGTCCAGATACCTGCAATGGAAGATCCGACAAAGACTGCCACTACTAGTTTCTTCTTCAAAAATTTAGAGACACGCTGACGGAATCTCGACAGTCTGGTCTTCTCCTTGGTCTCGCTGAAAGCGGCTGCCCGATCATCTTCGTCATCTTGAACGGGAGAAGCTTGAAAAAGAGACGGCTGACGAGACCAAACAGCTCGTGTAGTTCTAGATAAAGAACCAGGATGAACAGGTTGTTGCAGTCCTTGGTGGCGCCGTTGCGTGGGAAAAACGAGCGGTTGGAAGGCACTTGCCGAACCTAGCGCCAAGGCTACCAACCAGACTGTGCTCATCTGCTTTGATCCCATCATTGTTGACCAAGGGGGTAGCTACTTCGATTTCCTTTCAAACGAGACGCTCCCAAGCTGTTGTAATTAATTGGTGAGAAGGTCGCTTGGCAGGGTTTCCACTTTGCCTAATGAGGGTTGATGGAGGTGCCACTTGCCACCCGTTGGCATCAGTTGTTGACGTGGGGGCCACAAATCTTTGCCAAAAGATCCAACAAACGACGGACAGACGCACCGGCTTCCCACGCAAAATACCGTAAAGATTCGAGAGATCCAGACGGCTGATGGTCATGCGACCAACCTCCTTCCAAGACGACCATTACCGGTACCGGTACAGTACCGCCACCTTAGAAGTTCGTATGGTACCAGTACCAGAGCGGGGACATACAGCGTGGTGTCGTACCAGATATCCATACAGGCAGATTGCAATGGAAGCAGTAGCTTTGCGCGAGGGAAACCGTTCAGAGTTTGCCGCTTGCGATATCGGTTGCTACGAATGAGTTGAAGCTTGTCCCAGCCAGCAAAGTGTTCCACTGTAGAGCGCCTCTAGCTACATGTAGTAGTTTGAGTGTAGGGAATGTTGGTAGCTGTAGCTGTGCATAGTTGTACTGCACTACCGGTGGCCGGTGGCTTCCAGAGATGCTGTTTGCCGCAAAACAACTGCATTGCAAACCAATCGCTACAGGGCTTCCCAAATGTGTACAATCAAATGTCTTTCCTTCGTCAGGTCATTGGCTGGGTCAAGTCCAGTGCTGCTGTTTCTTCGAGTGATTGGTCATCGGTGGGGAAGCCGAAGCAAGGGGGAAAGATACATGAGCGCGTTTGCGTTGGCAAGGAAGCCTAGTAGTTTGATCAAAGATCCTCGCTTTTATGCGACGGGATACAGCTTACAATTCAGCTTTACAGCTTTACAATTAGCAGGCTTATTCTAGAAAATAATCAATAACTGCTCAACTTATTTGGAAATACAAAACTTTACATCTCTTAGATCGTTAGATATAATCAAACATATGGTATTGTCGCATGGTACATGCGAGGTTATGAGATGTTACTCATTCTATTCTTAATGTCTATCCCTATGGTTTCAATGGAATGAACTTATCCCCTGGTGCAAGAGCCCAATCTTCATCGGTAGTCCTTCCCTTGTTGCAACTTACTTCCTTTGGATCGCGTTCGAAGCAATCCCTTGTTGTTGTTGATCGCTCGTAAGCATCTCAACTACCCATTCATCCTGTCGTCGAACGAAATCGCGATCTGGGCCCCTTTCCTGTTGACATCGTATCTCATGAGGATCCTATTATCCGCTGGACTCATGCGACTGCAAGAGCCACTGCCGTGACTGCACGTTCGACTGCAACTGTTACTACCACTACAGTTGTCTCTATCACCGGTAAAGTCCAGTCATCGTTAACGCCTCATCGCGATCGAGTCCATTCCATGCTCAGCTTGAGCATCGCGATCGGCCGATCGCGAGTTAACAGAATCTATCGAAAAATGAGCTCCGACTGGATATGGAAGCCTCGGCTTGTGTGTCATGCTTCGAATCACTCTTTATTTAATTCGGATCGCCTGAGCTTAAGTCTTTCTTGAGTATGCTTCAAATCCCTCACTTTTTCATTAACTCGACGGAGACGCACACTGATTGTTGTTTCGAACGACAAAACTCGGACGAGCGGCTTGTGCTTGGTATTGCTTCGACCGATCCCATACGGTTGGTCTCTGCTTACCTTGCTTACCTAGGACTGGCCTTGGTCGTTTGCACTGGCTTGCTGCATTGAACTGGCTTGCATTGGTCGTTTGAACAACCTCGGGATCGTACGGAGCGATCGATCCTCCGTACGACGTGGTTCCTCGAGTATTTTGAATTCAAACTCGACCAATCCATCGCGTCGCTTGAATCCTTCGAAGCTCCCTTCGAAAGCTCACAAAAACCCAGCTTCGATTGACCGATTGACTGGCTATTATCCACCGCGATCCTGCTCTTTGTTGCCGCTCGTTGCCGGATGCCATTGCATTGCTTGCCACTGTTGCCAATTCCTAACTGCTTCTTCTGTTGACGCTTGTTGATTTTCATGCCAGTCCCACTCCATCATCCCTATTGATGGACCTTGACGACCTTCCCTGCCTCAGCATCTTCAACTCAACAGCAGCGCCAGCATCAGCATCCTTGTTCAGTCCACAAGGCTCAAGACAAGCTCTTCTTTGAAACTGATCCAACACATCCCACCATCTGATCCTCCAATCATGACTCGCACACCATTGACCGCATTCAATTCCAGGAGTTCCTCCAGCACATTGGGAAAAGCCAAAGAGAAGACCAAAGCTTACAGAAGCCGTCGCTTGGAGGTATCAACCCACACTGGAGCCTGACAGGACTTTGGCCAGATGGACTGGAGGAAGGAAGCCTCATAAGCACCCATGCCTCAGGGGTTTCCAAACGGTGACTACCATCTGAACATCACACCAACACTCCAAGCCTATCGTAATTTGGCATTCAAGAAAGGCTATGAAGGATTCCGACCAGTCCTACTATTTCCCACTCCTTACTGAGTCCAATGCTTCTGGGTCCATCTGTGCTAGCACCTCTCTTATCGCCTTTGAAGTATGGATGACAGAGCTTGGTAATGGAAGGGGTCTTCAGTCTTGTTGTTGGAGACCTTTATACTAACACTATTAATAATTCAATCTAACATGTTCTACTGCTCCTGACAGGTTTCTAGAATCTATGATGGAAAATGGCATCAGGACTCACAGTAATGGGGTCGACTCAATCTGATGCACAATGGGGATCTGCAGCAACATCCTGTTTGCCAGTAATGATCTAACTAACCTTGCCTGGTCGGGAAGAGGCTGTCTTGAACTCTTTCACTGATGCACTCCAGGAAGAATGAAATCATATGTTCCTAGAGCCAAATACAAATGGGCCCCAACTTCTCTTGCTCTTCTGCAGAAAATATACTGAGCCTTCTCTCAGCTAAGAATTGGACCCTCAAAGCCAAGCTATCTTCACTTGGTACATCACAAGTTCCCTGAGGGAGAATGTTTCCATGTAATGTTGTCGATGCAAGCAAAATAACAAAGAGATTCGATTAAACTTTATGTCCAGTACCCCATGCCTGAACTAACCAGCACATCTTTGAGGGGTCTCCTGGCCTGTGGTTGTCCATACTTTCGATCCAAGTCCATGAGCTTGTTTTCCAAGAAGTGAACATCAAACGGATTTGATGCAACTATGGGAAAAAACACATTGGAAGCACTCGACACTTTGAATAACTTGGATGCCCTCTATCGGGTCCTCATCAAACCAGAAAATATGAGCCTGCCCAACACATGGATCACAAGGATTCCAAGGCCAAACCATTCCAGCAGCAATTGACAAAGCAGTTGAGGCTAAAGTTGGGAGTCTCACTCTGGATCGAAACAGTGGATCAGCCAGTGGGGGTACCCGTCCTCCGTGGAGGCGCCTGCTTTGATTGGTGGAGGTACTGATCATCATAAACGATCCAGCATGTCGCCAAGCGAGGTGCTCCCAAGGGAACACGGTCTGAGTGCTGAAACAACTCCAAACTCAGCAACTCTTATCAAAGAACTAGCTTGCTTCCATGCCTCCAAGGGAGGAACATTCCCATGATGCCCAACACAACCATTTCTGTGATGGGAGGTGGGTTGCTAAATACTGTCGCAACTGTGGAAGGTCTCCAAAGGCACAGTGCTCATATCTTACCAGTGAACATCGTGGTTCCGCAAGTTTCCTTACAAGGCACCTCTTCTGGTGGCAACACTCCTCTCACCCACCCGCTGCTCCGCTCGCATCTGCTCCAATCACTGCTGGTGGCACCTTGCTTCTTCCGCAAGGGATTACCTATGTCCGCTGCTGATGGCCCTTTTCTAGCCAACTGATGAGTTTTACACGCCATCCCAATGTTGGGTATGATTTCGATTCATGCAGGTCAACATGGCAGCAGTAGATCTCAGTTTTGATTGATGACCTCCGCTCTACTTGCAGCTACCTCAATGGGCTTTCATGTGATGCTTCGGCAGAATAACACACTTGGCAACTGTGTTTCTCTTTGCCTATTCTTTTGCCCATTTGTGCCTTTCTATCTCGGGTCTTATCCTTCTTATCTCGTATTGGAGGAGAAGATGAGTCTGCTATACAGACATTTATCAAATACACTTCGAATTCCAGCACTGATTCTTGGAGGAAGCAACCTTTCTTCAGTCTCACCGCTAAAATTGGTGATGTTGTCTCTGCTCCCATTTCTTTCCCCACCATATCCCCCTTGGATGTCTCCGGGATGCGGATGTGTGTT